CAGAGAAGCTTATGACCGTTTATCTCCAGGTTTCAGAGAACGCTTGGCTGGCTTGACTGCCACTCACTCAGGGGTTGAGCAACATGTGGGCTCAGCCAAAGCCGGGATGGTTCCTAAGAGAGACGCCATCATCAGTTCGCACCCAGTTGTTAGACAAAACCCGGTTACGAAAAGAAAATCTCTCTTTGTCAACAAAGAATTCACCCGTGCAATCGAAGGTTACAAGAAGGAAGAGAGTGAGGCTTTGTTGGGCTTTTTATACCAGCATTTAGGAAACGCCGTTGATTTCCAGATCAGAGCTCTGTTGAGACAGTACAGTATAGTCTTCTGGGATAACAGAAGTACTCTTCACACAGCCACTGTTGACTACGATTCCAATGCTACTCCAAGAGAGGGTTTTAGATTGACTGTTACGGGGGAGACCCCAGTAGAAAATATCTAGATCCTTTTAACTAATGGATATTTATTTAATTTTGTACTAAACGGTTGTTTATAGAGGAACCCGACTCATCAAAGTAGCCTTTTATTATTTGCTCAGAGTAAGCTTAAATAGCGTTCATAACTCTCTAACTGGCTAGAAAAAAAACGCTTATAGTACCTTCAATTTAGAAAAATCTAGAGAGCATCAAATAATCGCGGTATAAAATTAATTCGTAGGTCGAAGGGGACTCAATTAATTATCTAGGTCTATTACCACTAATTTTACTTCAGGATATCCTTTTCCGCAGATGATAGAAGGTGGTTATATTCCAGGATTGATTCGCCTACCCCACTCATTTCTCCTTACTGGATAAGTGTTTGATTGCCTTCAATCTCTCTTGCAACAAAGGATGCGAATGATGATATGTTGAATACAACCAATGAGTATCCAACACCGCCTTATTGTCTTTATTGAGCTTAATCAAGGCAGCGGCAATGTGTTCCTCATAATTCAGGCTCACCACATAAGCATCAGCCTCGTATTCATTCTTGCGCGTCAAAACATTGGACAAGAACTGTAAAGCACAATTCATGGGGGTGAGGAAGTAGCAGAGGATCATGAACTTCACACAAGCTGGCGTGTGGTTACCAAACCCAAACGAGGAGTACAAATATGGGTTGTTGCTGAAAAGCGAAAAGACGAACAGTATGAGTAGAAGTTGAAATTGTTCATAGACCGTTACTATCAACGTATGGTTCAATTCCCAATGACCAATTTCGTGGACCAAAACTGCGGCTGCTTCCTCTACTCCAAATTTGTCAACCATGGTATCGTGGAGGAAAATATGCTTTGACCATGGGAGGCCGGTGAAGAATGCGTTTGAATGCGAGGAATTTTTAGAGCCATCGATGACATTGACGCTGTTAAGTGGGAACTTTTTCTCGTGAGCCAAACGATCAATGAAATCTTTTAACTTTCCCGAATCAAGAGGTTTCGACTTGTGAAACAAGGGCAAAATCAAGTAAGGATACAATATTTTCACTGCCACAAAAATAATCTCAATAAAGAGCCATGTGTACCAGATAAACAGGTCTCCAGCCAATTCAACCACTTTCAAAGTTACAGCCGTCAACAACGATACTAACACCAACAGGATGATATTTTCTTTTAGCTCATTCATGAGCCACTGAGAGAATGTGGGGTTGTTGGAACTGTGTTTGTTTTTTCACATAAAACCCCCTATAGTACTTTAAAGGGAAGGCCATCAAGGTTTGGGTGATAATTGAGTAGATAACAACTAGGATGACTGACTGCGTAATTTCGCCAGTTGCAAAACCAAGAATAGAGCTGGCACGAACAGGAGCCTGCCATAATGCCAAGTAGACGTTGAACTTGATGTAAACTAAATCCTCACAGTACAGCCAAATATTTAAAGCGATGGTATGTTTGATCTTGTCGAGAGCGTATGCTCTGGATTTATCGTAGGTATCTTGTGTGGCATCGGCCTCTAAAGCTTTAGGGGGCTTGGCTCTCCGTAAAACGCCGAATTGGCATAGATTCATATAACTCTTGAATATGAAATTGGCCGTTGACAAACTAAGGATGATCTGTCTCCAATTCAACTCTGGGGAATTTACCCCGTTGGCAATAATCTAATTCGTTAGCATTCAAACTGTTAAGCAAGTCGGTGATTGGCGACTTACCGAAAGAGGTGGTGACATGACTCAGAGAGGTGTGTCTGTAGACTTGGTTTTGTCAGAATCTAGTCCTAATTATATATGTTTTATCCTTCTTTCTGCGGGATAGGCGCTGCCTTTTATTTCACCATTGAATGGCTATCTTGTGGGATACCCTCTGGTCATATTTTTCCCCTCAGCCCCTGTCCTATCTGCATGTGATGGTGCTGTGGATAAGTGTTTGCAGGGTTGCTACAGGATCTAAATCGTTCAATCTTTATCTGCGGATGCTGCGTTCCGACGCTGATATCCACCAGAAGGTCATTCTTGATTTCCATAGGGCTATATAGCATGTAATATAGGTGGATATACATCGCTAAGATAGCGATATTGAATTGTCTAAATTTTTAAAACTGTTTCCACATAATATAGACAGCAAAAACATAAGCGTGTGATATATGAAGGCGTAGTGTAAGTACCAAGAGACAGGAGCTATACGAAGCATGACAGGACTGTAGGGTGCAGGGATTGACGCGGTTGAAAAGGTATCGTAGGCATGATAGGGCTGTAAAATACAGGGAGCCGTACAACCGCAAGGATACAAATGCATTACAAGATTGAAAATACCGAGATACGGCCTAAGGGTTGATTGATATGTAACAGGACTGTAAGAAGCGGGGAAAGCAGACTTCGGAAGGGGGCTAAAAAGATCTGAGTTGCCTTAAAGAGAGAGCTCCAGGAGGCCTGAGAAATTGGCAGACTGAACACGGCATACTATGCACTACTGCCAATTAAGGCTGGGAGCGTTAATTGGGGGTTTCCTGGAAGCTAAAGGCCCTGGCAGTTACATAGGTTTCATGGAGAGTTTTAAGATTTATACAAAGCCCACGCTCCAAAGGCTCAATGCCTGACACGCAGGAGAAGCTAAACAAGTAGAATTAGGGTTAAATAAGAAGGTATAATTGAGGGAGGCAACTGTGGGGCTATCTCTATTTCCTAATCTGTTGCGAGCATCATAACTTTCTTAGCCACAGCATTCTATATTTTTTGGATAAAAGAAAAAGGGATCGAAAAAGAAAAGAAAATGAAAAACGTGAAAGGATATATATAAAAATAAAGACGTATATATTATATATACTTATACATATAACTAAATTGATGAAAAGTTCTCCAAATAAACAAATCAAGTAACTATAATTACATATATAAAAACAACTGCCCGTGAGTACTTATAATTGTTATACTTTGGCGTGTATTTTCCAGCCATCAAAGATGAGCTTCTCCTACGGATAGGGACTACAATTCCGATAATTGTAAGATGGATGAAATAACGGAGTATATTCAGTTTCGATCACACGGAGACAAGGTTTAAACATAATAGATCAGGATTATACCTGGCACAGGGACTATTTGGTCCGACTCTTGGTTGTGGCTTTGCAAGGGCTCAACGTTATATACAGGACATATGAGGCAATAAATTCTGTTTTGTGTAAATAAATGGCGCGACACCACAAATTCTTGGCTGCTTAAGCTGATCTCCACAGTTTCCCAAACGTAGATATGTTTAGCTAGTGTCAATCTATCTTTCGAGAGAAAGGTACGGATTTACATCTGCATATAGTATCTACTTTCCATCCCCACGTCTAGAAGGAAACGGCCTGTATGACGCTGTGGCTGATTATTAGCAAAACTGTGAGAGATAAGTGTGGAGGACACAGTTTGGTGCTCTCCAATCACATTCATCCATTTTACGATATGTAATTGAGTTGGCAATGAACTCAGTGGAGTAAAATGCGCATCTAAATGAGATGGAATATATAATGGTCTAGGTATCTCACTTGAACCTAGGGAAATTGCTCTCTGTAACGCAAATAGTAATCTATTCTATTTAACTACTAAATATGTCTTCTTCAGTTGCTCCTGCCAAAGTTTCCACCATCGAGGAGGGGACTTCCCAGCCGAAAATTGCCAGGCCTGCCCCATACGCCGGGTCTAATATTTCTGCTAACTCGAAGTATCCTGAGTACACACCACTGAAAAATGCCAATACCACCAAGCAGCCAGCACTTGTCGAGATTCCTTACGATGACAGAGCTTTATATGCCGATCCTGCATTGCCAAACTTGTTGCCAACTTTGAAGTTAGCCAGCAAGGAGGTAGGCTTGGAGGAACTTTCGCCAAAGTTTGGTTCCGTTGTCAAGGGTGTTCAATTGGCTTCGTTGGTTGATAACCCAAAGGCAAAAGATGAGTTGGCTTTGTTACTTGCTCAGAGGGGTGTGCTAGTCTTCCACAACCAGGAAGATTTCTTCAAGTTGGGACCTGGAGGAGTGACTGAGTTTGCTTCGTACTTTGGTGTCCTCCACGAACACCAATTGAGCAGCACTGTTGAAGGACATCCAAAGTTGTTGGGCCTTACTGGAAAAGGCTTCTCCCAGATTGCGAAGTACAGAAATTCAACCTCCAGCACCGGGTTTCACTCGGACGTTACTTATGAGTTGCAGCCACCCTCCTATACCTTCTTGTCATTGTTGGAGGCACCTTCGTCTGGTGGTGACACTGTCTTTATTGATGCCAGAGAAGCTTATGACCGTTTATCTCCAGGTTTCAGAGAACGCTTGGCTGGCTTGACTGCCACTCACTCAGGGGTTGAGCAACATGTGGGCTCAGTCAAAGCCGGGGTAGTTCCTAAGAGAGACGCCATCATCAGTTCGCACCCAGTCGTTAGACAAAACCCGGTTACGAAAAGAAAATCTCTCTTTGTCAACGAAGAATTCACCCGTGCAATTGAGGGTTACAAGAAGGAAGAGAGTGAGGCTTTGTTGGGCTTTTTATATCAGCATCTAAAAACCTCTGTTGATTTCCAGATCAGAGCTCTGTTGAGACAATACAGTATAGTCTTCTGGGATAACAGAAGTACCCTTCACACAGCTACTGTTGATTACGATTCTGATGCTACCCCAAGGGAGGGTTTTAGATTGACCGTTACGGGGGAGGCCCCAGTGGAAAATGTTTAGATCTCTTGGACAGATCGCCCATCTAATGCTTAACTCCCGGTTAAGGCATGTTGGGTTTCCGCGTTAAATTTATTATTTTATCAACATTTTTCTGTTTCCAAGCTTCGTATAAAACGTGAAACCTTATTTTACTTGTAGTTCTTTTTGGCAAGCACCGTGCTTCATGGGTCCCTTTCATTCCTCACCGGTATAATCCTATATCCGCCGTACTTATTCTCGTAGCCCGCCTAAAATACCCCTCGCTAGCTTCAAACATGCTTTACATATCATTTGAGTGATAATTGAGGTTGCTTATTTTTTTTGGACCAAAGACATTGCTCTTGTAGAGTTTCGCTACGGTTTGGGGGAATGATTTTAGCCGATAAAATTCCACTGAGGCTGGTATTACTTGTGACTCAAGCCTGATATAGGAAAGAAACTATTCCCACTATTTCCGAGATGTTTGCGTAATATTCGCACTAGATTTGAGAACTGGCGATTCCCACAGTGCCGATCCACGATATTCTCTCATGTGCCAGTTATATGCTCTATATTCAGACATGACGAGCTCAGGGCTTTAATATGGGACCGCCACGATTTAGGTGACCAGGATATATTCCAAGCCACTTTTTCCTACATTTGTGGAGACTAAGACCATGCACTTATAAATCCAGCTAATAACAGATCTAAGTATGGCAGAAAGGGTTTTACTGGTGACTCCGGGTGAGTCGAAAATGCGGGTGTTATACATTAGACAAATTCGATCAGCGTATTACAAATACACACTTAATTGTGGAAGGTTGAGGTTTTAGAGGCATTAGAGCCCATCGTTATGTAGAAATTTCATATATAAGTAGTTGCCTTGATCCAATTAACAAGTACATCTCTGTTTGAACGTGCAACTACAAGGATGAGTACCGCTCACGAATCAAAATCTCCCATTGTCTCCGAAATCGAGGAGAGTTCCCGCTCTCACAATTCGTACTCATCGCCTGATGATGCTTCGTATAATAAAAACCAAGATATCGAGGTGCAAATTTCGCAAGTCTCATCGCTCAACCAGTTGGGCTCCAATCCTTTCTTGGACCCAAAGGTTGAGGAGCATTACCGTGATATTTATGAGGGATCTCAATACGAGTGCCGTCATGAATTCGACCCCCACTTCACATGGTCCCCGGAGGAAGAGAAGAAGATAGTCCGTAAGTTGGACTTCAGGGTAGCCTTGTTGGCATGCTTCATGTTTGTGGCGTTGCAGGTCGATAGGGGTAACTTGGGCCAAGCAACGTCCGACGGCTTTTTGAAGGACCTCAAACTCACCACGAACGACTACAATACCGGCAACACCATTTTCTTGGTGGCATTCTTGATTGCTGAATTGCCGTCGCAGTTAATCTCAAAGAGAGTTGGTCCAGATAGATGGATTCCTTTCCAGATGATTGCTTGGTCCGTTGTCGCCATGTCCCAAGCTGCGTTGAAGGGAAAGTCTGGTTTCTACGCTACCAGATTCTTGGTTGGTTTCTTGGAGGGTGGCTTCATTCCAGATATCGTGTTATGGTTGTCCTACTTTTACACCTCCAAAGAATTGCCAACCAGGTTATCGTGGTTCTGGACTACCCTTTCTTTGACAACTATTGCTACTTCGTTGTTGGCAAGTGGAATCTTGAGGTTGAGAGGCGTGGGTGGGTTACCAGGCTGGGCCTGGTTATTCTTGATCGAGGGTCTCTTCACCTTGTTCATCGGTATCTCGGCTATTTTCCTCATGGTTCCTTCTGCGGTAGAGACTAAGGCTCCCTGGAGACCAAGAGGTTGGTTCAACGAGCGCGAGATCAAGATTGTCGTCAACCGTGTATTGAGAGACGATCCTTCTAAGGGAGACATGCATAACAGACAGGCCATTACTCCGAAGTTGTTATGGAAAGGGTTCACTGATTACGATTTGTGGCCAGTGTACATCATTGGCTTTTTCGCGTACATTCCAATGAACACCCTTGGGTTATACCTTTCCATAAACTTGAGAACCTTAGGTTTCACCGTCCTCGAGACCAATTTGTTGGGTATTCCGCAACAAGTGCTCCACATAGTCTTGTTGATAATTTATACGTGGCTCACGGTGAGGCTTAACCTGAGAGCTTTAGTGTCCCTCTGCCAGCCAATCTACACCGTTCCATTATTAGGTGTTCTTTGTTGGTGGCAGGGAGCCATGCATAACAAGTGGGCAACGTACGCCGTCACCTCCTTGATTTTGGGTAATCCATATATCCATGCAGTCTGTGTCGGTTGGTGTTCCACCAATTCTAACTCGGTGAAGAGTAGAACAATCTCTGCATCCTTGTATAATATCTTTTGCCAGCTCGGGGGTATACTTTCAGCAAACATTTACAGAACGAGTGACCTGCCGTTATACAAGAGGGGGAATAAGGTGTTATTTGCTATTGCTTTCATCTTGGTTCCAATTCTCCTTGGGACTAGACAATATTATGTTTGGAGAAACAAACAACGTGACACCATCTGGGACGCCATGACTGAGGACGAAAGGAAGAGTTACATTGAGGACAACAAGGACTTGGGTAACAAGAGATTAGATTTTAGATTTGTGTATTAGTGGCATAAAATCTTTCAGTGCTAGACAGAGCTGTAGAGGTCCATATCTCCGTAATTCTACAAAATTTAGCTGGAAGAAATTTCCTAACAGATGTAGGTCGATATGGGGGTGCAGACCAAGTGTGTTCCATAGACTGTACAAACGGGCTACTCTATTGTCTATGACTTTGTTCGTTACTTGACCATTCTCTTTTTCCTGATCAAGTACGGGCGCAGGGGGACTGGTCGTGTGGATACCATACATTCCCTTGCGGGTATAAAATTTGGCAGTCACCAGATCAGACGCCTTTTTGCCCCTAGCCTTACTTACCATGGATTCCACTATCAGATCGCTCGTGAGGTTCGTCGCCCGAGGCTTCTACGGCCAGCAATATGTGCTTATCTTGGATGCCATCTTGCTCCACTCCGTGTTGTCTGAAGACGATCTCTTATTCTTGTTGGGGATTCAGCGGAAAAACCTCCGGTCGCTCTGCAACAAGTTGGTGGAGGACCGGATGCTCACGGTGCACTCACAGAAAGAGGAGTTGCCGAACTTGCGGTTGACCACACGAACATACTACTACATTCACATCACAGAGGCGATCGACTCCATCAAATGGAAGATGCACTCCGTGGTCAAGTTGATTATGGACGAAATGAAGCACGATGGGAACCCGCAGGGGTACGTGTGCCCACGGTGCAAGTCACGCTACTCGCAGCTAGATGCCATTTCCATGTTGAGTGATGACCGTGTGAACTTTGTCTGTGACGTGTGCCAGGGCATATTGATTGAGGACGATTCGGGCATCCAGGCGCGAAAGAGGCAGGAGAAGCTCACCAAGTTGATGAATCAGATCGACCCGATTATTGGCTACTTGAAGAAAATCGACGATTCCTTCATTGAGGACAACACCTTCGAGTCCACGTTGACCAAGGCCATTCCAGCGCAGTCCACTCCCGTGGCCGCGTACGCCGTTTCCACCAGAACGTCGGGTACCAGAACCAACAGCACGAATAATATGTCTGCCTCCTTGCAATCCGCGGCGCAGAGATCGCAGGCCACGTTGCACGTGCGGATCACGGCGAACGACGAGAACGCACTCAAGGAGAGCCAGGAGAAGACCAAGAGACAGGAGAAGATGAAGCAAAATGCTTTGCCATCGTGGCACTCCGAGAGTACCGTCGGTAAGGCGTCGTTGGGGAGGTTGGATGACGAAGAGGAGAACGAGTCGGCTCCAGAGGTCAAGGTGGAGGAGGAATCGAGCCCAGAGGTCAAGGTGGAGAGCACTGCTGACAGCTCCAGCCGCCCTGCAGAGAGCACCGTACCGTCTGCTGCGCGTGACCAGGAAGCTGAAGACGCGTTGGCTGACTATTACGCCCGGTTGGCGGCCGAAAACGCCGAAGAGGAGGAGGATGATGACGATGACGATGAAGACGATGACGACGAGTTTGAGGAGGTAGAGGACTTTGATGATGTATCGACGCCCCAGACTGCTGTTCTGGTGTCCCAGGCCGCGGACGATGATGACGACGATGAAGACGATTTTGACGACTTTGAAGACGTGGCGTTGTCTGATGCGACCCCGATGGTTTCCACCGAGCCAACCATCGGTGACGATGGGTTAATCGAAGTGGAAGAGTTTGATGGTGAGAGCGATGAGGAATAGGTGGTTCAATAATGACTGTGAATTTCCACAGTGGTTCTCCAGAGGTTCTCCAGAGGTTCTCCAGAGGCTCTTGCCGTTGATATATGAACCATACAATAATATAAAGAGACGGGAACGAATAGAAATAGTGAAACAATCAGGAATTATGTATCGATCCAGAGCCTTCCACAAGCTTCCCCATCCCGGAGGCTAGCTGGTACGTCTGAGGCGCTATAAATACAGGAATCCTAAGCTAAAACACATGGAGTATACCAGGCTGAGGCACTTTTAGTCTATCTGTGCCTAGTGGTAGATAACAGAAGAGATTCATAATGAGTTAATTCGGAGGATTTAAAACTATCGTTGTGTATCTTGACTATCCTGAAGAGATACCATAATCATCACGTGACAATGAGTTAGCTCGCGATTTGTATCCGAGTCAGTCGATTTTAGTCTACACACAGGTGTGGAGAAGGTTAGTCACAGCTGTAGGAGTGTACATAACCGCTATCGTGTGTCGATTTTTCACTTTCCACTTCTCACATTTTTCACTCTCCACTTCTCACATTCTTGCTTATTTCGCTCAAAGAAACTGCCCATTACACATTCCTATATCAATGTCCAAGACTGAGCCTAAGAAGGTATGTTCCCCCAGAAGTGCTTGCGAGCCGTACTAACCCGTTCTAGAAGGTTGACCCCTTCCATTCTCTCATCGCCGGTGGTACGGCGGGTGCCATCGAGGGGGTAATCACATATCCGTTTGAATTCGCCAAAACGCGTCTTCAGTTGGTCGACAAGGCATCCAAGTCGTCTAGAAACCCGTTGGTTTTGATCTACACCACTGCCAAGCAGCAAGGCGTGGGCGCGTTGTACACGGGTTGTCCGGCATTCGTGGTGGGTAACACCGTCAAGGCGGGTGTCCGGTTCTTGGGGTTTGATGCTATCAAGAAATTATTGGCTGACAAAGACGGGAAGTTGTCCGGACCCAGAGGTGTGTTGGCGGGATTGGGCGCCGGTTTGTTGGAATCCGTGGTGGCCGTGACTCCTTTCGAGGCGATTAAGACCGCGATGATTGACGATAAGCAAACGGTCAAGCCTAAGTACCAAGGTGGAGTTATCAGCAGCAGTTTCAGATTGTGTCGTGACTTAGGAGTGCGTGGCTTGTACGCGGGGTTGGTGCCGGTTTCCATGAGACAGGCCGCCAATCAGGCCGTTAGATTGGGGTCCTACAACGCCATCAAGTCCACGTTGCAACAGGCTAGCGGTTCGAGGCCGGACGAACCATTGTCCAGCGGGTTGACATTTGTAATCGGTGCTTTCGCCGGGATCGTCACCGTGTATACCACTATGCCCATTGATACCGTAAAGACCAGAATGCAAGCCTTGGGCGCCAGGGAGCAGTATAAGTCTACGGTCGACTGCTTTGTCAAGATCTTTAAGCAGGAAGGGGCGTTGACCTTCTGGAAGGGTGCCACCCCGAGACTCGGCCGATTGGTCCTCAGCGGTGGTATTGTGTTCACCATCTACGAAAAGATGTTGGTCTTCATGGCGTAAAAAGTGTTTATAGACGGCAATAAAATTATGCGTCCCAAGGTTCGAGGCTAAATAGTAGGATATTTCGGCGATCCACGCTTTCGGCAACCTCCGTGCACTGCTCCAACCATCTGGGGCTTTTGTGCATTATTATTGGTTATCGGGGGTCATAACTCAACCGTACCGGTCACACGCGTGAATGAACAGAAATGACGCATCTTCCAAAATCCCCAGGAATAAGAAGATGCCGTGCTACCCAACAACTAATTTAGCCTTTGTCATGACCACTAGCGAGCCTCTCCTGCATACAGCTAAATTGATACTGCCAGAAAGCGTGGAAGTCCTGCAGTTTAAGGTTATCGGAAACCCCTGCCGGTCCGCTAGATTCCTCCAGTAGGCCTAATTTGGTCGTGCCAATTCTTAACCAAATTGCTCTACTGCGGGGAACAAGGAGGCTTCCAGGAGTGATGCTTTTTTTTTTTGGCCTAAGCTCGATCAGACGCTATACCGATTTAGCGTGCATCTAGATGCCCCATGGCAACTAGCGTCCAGTATAATAATTGGCCTTTATTGCCAAGAGGTGGACTGAATACATTCAGTTGTCGGGTTTGCAACGTTAATGGTGTAGATATGCGTGGGGGCTACAATGGAGGCTCGCAGTCCCACATAAAGGTTTCAATGCTTATTGACAAGCGGGCCGCCGGACCAGCCTTCGGAGGTAAGTTTAAAGTAGAAACAGGAATCAGCTTTGTGGGTCGTATCAGGTGTGAACTGTTTCCTTATGTGACGGAGAGCGAAATAAACGTGCTAGAAGTGCCGATTCTACCGCGAAGGCCAACCTTGACTGACATCATCTTGCATCATATTATTTCTGACAGGCAGATTAGAGGTCTGGTGATGGCATATTACTCCATGAATAAACCCTCTTTCCAAAATACTGATACCGGACTAGTAAGTATCGCTGAGTGATACCCTTGGTATGGATAGAGCTATCAGTTATAGATATCCAAGGCGGCTTATCATTGACGCTAAGGTCTACGCGCGCAAGCTTTCCCTTTTCGACAGTACATCAGAGCATTTTTTTGTCAAGAAATCAGAGAGCTTCAAAGTCTATCTAAAACCTTGTGCTGCGGCAAGGTCAGTACTAGCCTCACATTTTTTTCTACCCAGCTTTTCGTTCTTCCATGCATACGTTTCTGCAATTGCCTCTGCATCGTCATATGCGAAACACAGTATGACCTTGGGGGCTGGTGTGCAGGAGAATTTCCTTTTTCGGCCGACTGGCTGCCAATCACGTCACACTTTGCCTGTCACTGCCTACGTGCGATATGCCTTGCGTCAGCTGTATGGCCGTGGGCCCTAATTTCCCCTTCTTTTTTTTTCTGGTTCGTTTCGTCCCACCGTCAGGCTATCTTCTCACCCCTCATGCATATCCGATAGCCAAAGTGATCGGCAGATATATATACTCCAACAGGCCCGGGTTTATATAGGCCCTGATCCTTATCCCTTGCTCCCCCTCCCGAACCCTTTAAACCAGCTATCACATTCAGAGTTGTCATTTTTAGTATCTGCCTGCCCCTCCATTCCCCGCTCCTCAAGATGAACCAAGAAAGTGTGGCCATTCACGCCAGAACCCAACCCACCAATTTTCTGTCTAGAAAGAACTCCATCTTCGAACGCTCCGTCCAGGACTTGAATACGTGTATGCAGCTATGCTCCCCCGTTAACAGCAACGGGATGAACTCCTCTCCTCCTGGCCGCTCGAGCTCAGTCACGGCCTTTGGCTTGTCTCTGCCGCTCTCCCCGCCATACCATAAGCTAATCAGGTCCAGAACATCCAACACAATCACCTCTGTCTCACCTCCTGAGCATAATCTTGTGAGAAGAAACCTGAGCTTATACATCCCCTCACACCACAATCTGGAGGACTTTGTGGCCCCCAACTTGGACTCTGCGGTCGAGTTCTGCTACTGTGGTGGGGACTCCCCTCCTGCCGACACTGAGCTGCAGTTGTCCCGATTACTGTCTGCCAACACTGCGCCCCGCTCTAAGCAAGACGCCTCTCAATCCCCGACCAATAACGAAGAATTTTTCCCGCCTGCTAATAATAACTACAGCTCTGTGATGCGCAGCAGGTCGCGCAGCATTGTGTGTAATTCGCTCATGAGATGCATGTCGAACACCAACGTCCCGCAGGCTTCCAATGGTGGTGATGAAAACAGTGCAACCTCGCCAAAGGCCCCCGAAAAGAGATCTCTTACCCGAAACCCCTCGACGCAGAATGCCGGCAGAAACGCGCAACCTAGCTCGGTTTTCCGGCTGTACAGCTGGAATACCAATGGGAGGGCTGTTGAAAGCGCTCCTTCGTCCCAGAACTCTTCGTTCGAAAGAGTGGACTGCAGCCCAGGTTCCGGTATCCATCTTGACTTCCACTCGTACGCTGAAATTTTGGACGACGAGGCCCACCAAGAATGAGCCCCCCCCCCCCATAGAGTATTTATTGTGGTCCTTAAGGGACTCTATAGCTACTAAGCTTTGAGATGTATTGCTAGTCATGTTGTCGCTCCTTCATTTGCGTAATTTCTCCCGCTGTGATTTTTGAGTAAGAAATGTTTGTTATATTGTGTTTGTAGGCCCGGGGTGTTGTGGTTTTGGCTAAACTATTATGAATGGAGTATTGACCAAGCAATAACAGATATGAGGGCAGCAAGCAGGTAAATCCTTAAAAAGCTATCCACCACCTTTTGAACGAGAATCTGAGTATCTTGTAGATTCGGCTGATATTCTCCGATCATATGGCATCTCGGTAATCTCCGTCTAGAAGGTTCTACGACATACCATGGCGATACCGTCCCTGAACCTCAGTGTATAAGGACCTCAATTTTTCTGTTTATATCCTACCTAAGGAAGGGCATCCTATTTTTAGCGTAGTAAAGTTCCACTTACCCTAGGAGATATCGTACAACTCCTATATGTTTATTATCGAAAGGGATAGTAAATCTAGAAACGTGACGTCTAGCTGCAGCTAGTTGTTAAGCCACTTATTTCAATCACGTCATCAGACATGTCCATACATGGAAGTATGGTATCTCTCGGCTATTGATTTTTTAGACCAGCTTGCAGCTGTTCTGAGAGCCAATCGTTACTTGACCTTTGTGGGTCGACAAGGAGTCTTCGCAGAGTCCAGCTTTAAACGAACCGTTAATGAACAGAGTTTGAGAAAGGACAAATAGAAGGTTGCTGTCGACTACCAGAGACGGAACGTTATATTGCATAAGCTGTGAGGTACACGAATAGAATCGTTTTGTTATTATAGGAGTATGTGTTTACACCCCTTTGTTTTATTAAGCCGGCATCTAAAGGGCAGAAAAAATAGAATTCTTTGCTAAAGATACGCCTAGATTCCAATACATAAAGATTCAATGAGTAGCATCTATGAGGGCGAATGTTGTTGCATATGCCTGGTGCTTACAGGGAGACTGCGACGAGGATTTGGTTCCATAATGCGCCGTGTACCTACGCTATGTGTTGCAAATCAAGGAGTGTTTAAGTGCGGGGTTAGCCATTTATATATGAGTAGGCTGTTGCGTTATATAGTTTCTGTTCTAGCCAGAAAATTACCTTTATTTAGGGAACTTAAAGTGTGATAGTAGGCTTTTTTGCTGTTGGAAATTAGTGACTAACGTAACCTGACATAGAATAGTGGCCACAGTGTCAAAGCCACAAGCGTTATTGATTAGTGGAACATCGGGAGTGAGAGAACCAGCCAGGGCCAAGGAGATATGCTAATATCATCTAATGGCCGTTTGGCCGAGTGGTCTAAGGCGTCTGACTCAAGATCAGATCTCGTAAGAGGCAAGCGTTCGAACCGCTTAGCGGTCATTATTTTTCAACACCGAAACTTGGGAAATGCTCGACATACTTATTCGACTAACAGCAAAATATGAGTAATTTCAGACACTTGGATAAGACAACGGTAAACCCCTCCAAGTTGGCGGCGTCTAGATTACTGTGTAAAGATAGATACTGATAGAGGCGAATGCTCAACTATGCCTACCCGGAGGACTTTTACCTCTGCAGTTCATCCTTCATGGACAGTTCCAGTATGTAGAAGGGGCTATATTGGTTGCGTGGTGAAGCTTTGCTTAGGTAGCCATGTCTGGAGCCATTTGACACGATATCTTGAACTTAACACAGCCGAGTCAGAAGCTGTAAAAGTCGAGGTTTAGTTATTTCAAGCCCCCGCCGGTTTACAATCCCGTCCCCGCTCGTAGTCTTACACATTTTGATTTATTCCAATACACTTACAAAGACAGGGATAGAAAAAGAGAAAGGGGTCAAGGATTAGGCTTCCACAAACTCGGGCGTCTGTTCGTAGTCCTCGGCATCTTCGGCTCTTCTCTCCTTCTCCTTTTCCAAGCCGCCGTGCAACAAGGTCAAGGCCTTTTCGATGCCAACGGGCTTGCCCACAATGGTGAACAATCTCAAATCATCATCGTCGACCTCATTATCGATGATGATTTGCGTCTGCGAGACTTTTCTGATCTCCTGAATCTTGGCCCCACGTCTGCCGATTAAAGATCCCACCAAGTCCTTAGGGAACTTGACCGTCTGGGTAATGGCATCCGAAGCGGCAGGCGCGGCGCGCAGGCGCGCAGGCGCGGCGATACTTCTACTGGTTGGGTTCTGCTGTGGCACCAGGTTCTGCTGCTGCTGTCTTGGAGCGGGCATATAGTAGATAGTGCCTGCGGCTGAATGGAAGTCTTCGATCAAGCAGTTAGACATGACTCGAATGGCGTTGACAATACTGGACTCGTCTCCTTGGATCTCGACGATGCGCTCGCTGGAATTTGGTAAAAAGTTTTTGGAGGCAATCAAGTTGACGGAATACAACTCCTGGATCGCCTTGATTCTGATACCTTCCTTGCCGATCAAGGTCCCCATCTGAGTGTGCGGAATCAATAATCTCAAGCACGTGGTCTCGCCCTGTCTGTTGGGAATGGTGCCCAATTGTTTTAACGGAAAAAAGTTATAAGTGACGGCCGCTGGCGGGGAGGCGATTACAGCCTTTGCGATCAAACCAATGGCGCGTGCAGTGGAGTCCACAGTCCCGCCAATGGTCAAAATACGGTCCGAGCAGCCATTGATCACGCGTGAAACGCCAGCCTTCACGCCGGTTTCATCGCGGATGGAGCCAACCACGTGGCCATTCGAGCCAATGATGATCCCCGCCTCTCTGGTTGAGACCAAAATACGGTAGGTCATCAAAGATTGCTCGTTCGCAGCCACTTGCGCTTCCAGAGGGAGCACGGAGTTGAGCGGCGCGTCGGCGCTTTCATGGGATTGTTCGGCGGACATGTCAACGGGATCAATTGGTGTATGGAGGAGGTGGAATCAGGAAGTTCGGTAGAGGAAGTTCGGTAGAGAATACGAGAAGCTCGGGTGGAGTATGATTGAAGGCAAGAGGCGTTTTCATGTGACGTATGCATCACAATGTATGAGAAGTCGGCGAGAACCGTGTGGGGCACGCAAACCCGCGAGGTGGCCGTAGGCGTAAGGAGCACGAAAGGGAGCTCAATCGGTTTTTATCTTGTTAATAATTACTATTCGATGGGCTATTTTTCTTTAGACAGCGACCATGTTTTCTTTTATGGTTTTCCTTCTGGGTTTGAGGAATATGTTTGGGACTGGTAACTAGGCGTCGTTTCGCATCTGACACGAGCCTTTATGCAGTGTTACGACACGGTGCGCGGGGGGAGGGGGCATTAAGACCGGATGCAAAAACAGGTAAACTGAAGTAGAGGGATAAAAAAAAAGCATCAAAAATGGGTAATAAAAAAAAGAGTTGATATTTATGTTTAAAATAATGGGCTTTTTAAAATTAGTCATATTAAGCATTATTAGCCTCTATTTCTACTTGGTTTCCTCGATGCTACGGCGCTGATTCCGAGATTTCCCCCCACAACTAAAATGCTTAATCGTGCGTTTGGCAGGTGTGGGCAGAAACGTTTGTCTGAACCACACCCTTTAACAGGTTCTGAAAGGCTAGCATATTAAAATAACAGACTATAGAGGATGTATAAGCAAGAAGATATATTATTCAGCCTTTTCCGGATCCCGGATCCGCCTTTTCCATGCATCAGTTAGCAGGTTGTAGAAGACAGCTAAGCTAACAGGCTGCGGCACAAGCTTCAGAAGGATGAGATACAATTCCACAATTTCCGTGCGCACCGAAACCTGTACATCCGATGAGAGTCGAGGTATATACGGCCTCAACTGGATGATAAACGAATCCACAAGCTTGCCCATGTCCGCTTTTAAATATCCCCGATGATGGCAGACCACAAACTTCAACACCTGCAACGCAGCACTCCGCTCCAGTGAGGTTTTAGATAAAAGAGAGCCGTGGAACAACCTTTCAAAATAGTACATAAAGTCCACAAACGAGACAGATGCCACCATCAAACAGAGTGATTTGGTGGCCATTTTGAAGATTAGCCGATTCTTCAGCAGCCGGTGAAGGTGGAAAAGAGAGTGGCAGAGCTTGGTAAAGCTCTGCGAGCTCAATTCCCCATTGCCAGAGTAGATCACCACGTCCTGCACAAATAAAATTGCCTTTTTCAAGAACGAGGGTCTTCCAGTCGAAGTAACTGCTACGATTGTATCGATATTCTGCTCGATGAGTGTTATGAGTCGCTGGGTGATTTTGGGGTCTGTGTCTTTTCTCTTCAAAAGGCACAGCATCTTCTCTAGATCTCCGCTTAACATCTCCCAGTTTTTGTCTTTTTCGCCGAGATGTGCAAGTAAGCTATCGATTGTGTGATTTAGGCCATCTTTGGTCTCGCTAACGTACCACGAAGACTCCAAGGCAGCTACTGGATCTTTACCGTAGACCGTCTCAAGGTATTGGTTCACGTATGGGGGGTTACACAACAAAAAGCTCTCCACTGGCGAGGAGATCTCCGGGATAGCAGGCGAACGTATTTTGCGGGAACTGAGCGAGGGCGGGGAAAATATCGATGCAGTCCCCAGAGGAGATTCCAAGCAGAGTTCTTCTTCCAGTCTGAGATTTTCCCTTTCAGGAGGTGCCTTTTCACGCGGAAACTTCATGGTGGGGTAGCTGATGGAGGAGAGAAGCCGTGGCGGGGCGCTTAGCGCTATCCATTTCTCTCGCAAAGGAGCTATTTCCTCCACTTTCCCACCAGAAAGTTCATCTGAGAACTTGCTAGCTAGCTCTGGAGCGCCGTCATTCGGAGGAGAGTAAACTATCTCATGAGGTCCCCAACTTTCATAGAGCTTTAGGCACTGATTTCCTTCAGGAGTATCGTCTACACCTGCTTTCTCCAGCTCGGACCATAGCTCACCCAGGCTTGGTAAAGACTCCTGGCTGTCTTGCAAGTACGCTGGCCGTTTCTGGCCCAGGAAGCTTCTGGAGGTTAAAGAACTGCGTTTCATGCAATACGAATCGTAGTCCCTTTTGTGATACTTAGAAAGTTCCACGGAGGAGATGATGTTGGTGACGGCAGTTTTCCCGTAAAATGGGGTCTCCATCACACCTCTTTCTTGCTTGGTAGGAACTTTGGGTAATTGGTTCAAGTACGAGCTAATCGTCTTGGAAGTTTTTGGTACGGGTTTGACGTACTTTAGACCAATCCTCAAATTTTTACCTTCGCTAATCGGACTGAAGGTGAAACTATCGGAGGTTCCTTCGAGAAACGGGAAGTCGTCCGTAACGGGTGATCTCCCAGTTCCCTTGAAAGCCGGGAAATTGGCGAGAGATTTTTCCAGTTCCTCCCAGATTGCATCAAGAGGGGAATACCGAGTCTCTTCTTCTGAAGCGAGAGACTTTTCAGAGTTTGCCGCTTCGTTTCTCTCGGGTTCTGGCGTAAGTGGGGTAACTTCCACCCAGGACAGGCTGTTTCTACGCCACCTTTTATACCAACTACTGGCCACAAGAAGAGAAAAAACTAGCCAAAAAACGATAATTTCATATGCCAAAGACAGGTTTGAAACGCGAACTTCCACCGGCTCGAAATACCCGTGGGCACGGAGGAACGCATACGCATCGACGCAAGAAAGCTTGCCCCGCGCTAGACCCGGAAACCCTGCGATGCGCTCTACTCCTTTCTGCCAAACCCCCACCAAGCCCCTCGGGTATTTTTCATAAATAATATGGTTCGTTTCAGGGGAACACCCTGACAGTGATTGGGCACAAAAATGGTGGTAGAGAAAGTGCCCCATCTGCACTTCATACGGCCAGCACTGTGTTATGGGATCAAAGACTATTTTGGGATCAGTTTTAGACCTAAAAAAGGAAGGCACATGAGGCTTGTCGGTGATGAGAAGGGGGTAGCGAGAGTTTTCGATCTCATAGACAATATACTGGAGGGGCGATAGGAGGAAGAGCATGATTGATCTGACGAGGCTCCACATTTGAAAGGTCTATAATAGGCGGTTGCGCTGTGTTTATTGTTGTATGAGCAGCCGTATGGGTAAAAATAAAAATAAAAACTAGAGGTTTGACCCAGATCAGGTTGGAGGTTTCCGTTTTGCTGGATTAGCCGCCCTGCAAGTTCTGGCGCGTCACATATGCAAATTCTGCCGTATCCAGATGATTTTCGGCGAGATTACTTTTAATTGGTATAGGGATAAGTGGTGTGGGATGGGATATTGGTTTCTAAAAATACGCCACGTTTGTCTTTTGCTGCTGCCCTTTAGGAAAGGGCTTGTAATTTAAGCTGTCAGCGTCCCGGAATAATGATTAGGAGCTCAATTGGGGTGTGCTAAAGATTTTTGAGCACGCGTGGGTTTTAGTGGAGATCTAATCTTACAAAGGTCTCTGGTGAGGATCAAAAATGAGGAGGGTACAGTATAGGTGTTTCTAGGAATGCGCAATGAAAGACATCCGTCTCGCTCTTAAGCGTCCAAAGGTTAGATACTCGAAGGCACCACGAGTTCTCTGTGAGCTTTAGAACTGTCTCTGGTAAACTTCCGTACAACCATCGCCAGGGACCCCAAGCCGTGACAAATGCTGCAATCCTGCTTTACCATAATCCAAGCCCCTCTTGAAGAGTCTAGGCATACACCCGTTTCCGACTCAATTCTGGATCCTAGCTTACGGTGGCTACTTGGATAGCTAATAAATAACGTATATGTAACAGATGAAAGAATAAATGGGACATGTATAACCATTATACACGCCAGAGAAAAAAGGATATGATGGAGCTCACACCTTGGGCGAAGATAACTTCGGGGCACCAGAGATGCCATAGTATGCGAACCTGTGACAGGCAAAGAGATAAATAATGTGGAAACAGCTAACAGGGAGCTGCTTAGATGTTGTCGACTGGGAACGGAGTCTCGTAAGATGGCGCAATGTATCTCTGGTACTTAGTACCACCTGGTCTGGCTGGTGGGGTTACCGGATCTGGGTGTCTAAACTCATAGATTAAGGCCTCGGTCTTCTGGAGAACCATCTGCAACTCAGCGATGTCGCTGATATTCTTGTTCATATCGAACTGCTTTCTGATTTGCATCTGCTCAGCTCTGAGGTGGTCTGGTCTGGTGATCCAGTTTCTGGCCAACTTACAGGATCTCCTGTACATGGAACATACAAGCTTCTTATTAGCCTGGGAAAATGGGAGAACGGTAGACATGATGTGGTGGCGGTGTCTCTGGGATGGAGGTTGTGTCAGCGTCTATTTTATGTATGCATTTTCATTTGGTTTTCTCGGTTGTGAATGGTTGGGATTTCATTGGACGGCGGCACGTGCTATTTGACTGTGCACGACCAACGTCATGATTATGCCTCCAAAGCGGTGAATAGTCTCGCTGCCAAAATTGCCCACTTGGCTAAATGGGGGGGGGGGGGGGGGGGGGGGGGGGTTGGACTGATTTGTATTCAGAGAGGTGTTCCTAGGATTTTCCGAATTCATATATAACAATCGGTTCTTGCTGGACTGAGCTACAGGTGCAGAGTGGTTCTCGTGCTACGTAAAAAGGTATTTAGCCTAATGCATATGGAACGCCTTTGCCCACCAGCTCCACTACACTTGTTTTTTAGATAAACAAAGGTGGCTTTTCATTAATATATAATACAAGTTTTGTTTCGTTTCGTCATCTAGTTCAACTTGCTCAAAACATCATCCAAGTTCGGCACGGGAGACTCTTCGTACTCGGGGACGTAGTTCTTCTTGGTGACAAAGATGCAGTATAGCCGCCTAGAGCTCTGCACGTAAGACTCCACATGGATATCGGGAGTCGCTGCCTTGATAGTCAGCAACCAAACAGGGGCCGCGTCGCCTGGGTTCAATGGAACAATGTACGAGTCCTTGATCCACGGCTGTCTGGCGTTGATCACACCGTACTTCTGCCGCGAGTGGAAGTACTCCCAGAGCTGGTCGTAGTCCAGCTGGCTGGCCAGATTTGGGCTGAGCTCTGCGAGAAACAAGTCACGCGTGGAGAGGATTTTCTGCAAATAGCTCTCGGCCTTATCCGCATCTAGTCTCCCTTCGATCTCGTAGTGCGACGCCAGTAGCAAGTACCCCGCCACGTTAAGCACAGAGGCCAGCGGCATGAAGACAGTGCTGCCCAAAAGCGCCGACAGGCAGTCGGCATGGGCAATCCCAGGGAAAGAGAGCCCACCCTTCCAAAACGCTGCAAGCGACGATGTCAACTGAACCGTGGAGAACGGATCGTAGTCGTCGTCAGACTCTTCATCAAGAGCAAAGTGGACTCTTTTTGACGTTTTCTTGGCGTTGACGTCTTTGGTAATCAGGTCTAAGCTATCAGGCTGGCCTTCTTCAAGAATGGACTCTAAGCCGTCAAGGTGAAGCATGTCACTTTGGTCGATGAAATCATCGGGGGTGTCGCTGTGGTGGGGCTCGGGAACAAAGTCATCGTTGGAAGTGGGCTGGTAGTGGATCTGGACGACTTCAGGCGTCAGGGTCCGCTCGTGTTCCACGGGAGACTCCGATTCCTTGCGGTACTGCGGGTCGAACGACGACGTATCCGTATCTTCCTCGATGATTTCCTCGCCCTTGTGGGTGCGCTTGGTGCGCGTGGTAGGTTCATCGCTCTTCAATACGCTCTGTGCAATGGCCTCCTGTTTGATCTTTTCAGCGTACTCCGCCATTTCCTCACTTCTCATTTCGTCTGGCTTCAAGCTCACTAACTTCTCCACGCTCAATTCCCCGTCGAACACCTTCTGCAACAACCGGAGCTTGGGATTCTTGAGATTGGCAAAGAGCGACCGCGATTTGTGGGTGTACGACTCATCTTGGTCGAAGGAGTCGGCTTTCTTGAAGACCTCCTGTTCGATTCCCAATGCCATGGCTATAGCGTCCTGTGGAGAGTTTTGAGCGGGGCTCTGGGTTTGGATGATGTTGAGAAACTGTTGGGCTACCGCTCTTCTGGTTTTGTCTTTGAGAAAGGAAAACTTGTCAGTGGTGGGAGGTTTAACTGGAGTACTGGGTTTGGTTGAAATATCGGACTGGGCGCCGGACTCGACGGAACCATCTTTAGCTGAACCAACTTTTTGACGTTTTGTCGAGCGAGCTTCAGCCTTTTGATGTTTTCTCGTGCCTTCAGCTTCAGAAGCTTCGTTGACCTCGCCCTCTGCTTCAGCTAAGTCATCACCTTCAGTTAGGTCATTAACTCTAGCATCCACATCGTCTTCCTCGGCCTCTTCCTTGTATGCTTCATTGTCATCGCCATTGTCCTTCTCCACCTGTGCCTCTGCCTGCTTCCTCTCTTCTTCCCTCTGGAAAGGGATAGGGTCGATCTGGAAGACAAGCGATTTATACTTAGGAAAGTCTGGCTTACACACATTACACAAGTAATGCTTTGGTAGTTTACTCAAGGCACGGTGGCCAAATAGACAGAAAACATGCTGCCATGTACGGCATTGTTGGCACTGGGCCATTTTCTCCTTCTCATCCCCTGGGTTGCGGCTTCCGTTGGTTCCACACACCAAGCACCGCACGTTGACCTCAGCGTTTGTTTTGCCCGTCTCAGAGATGTCGACAGGCTTTCTTTTGGGCACATCCTCCTCAATGTGGCGATTCACCCCTTTGTTGAGTCTCCCGGAGCGGCGAACAAGTTGCTCCATGGTTTTGTGTGGTGAGTTATAGAAGGAGCGAAAGCTATTTATCAACAGCAATTTTCAAGTCTGGCGTCGATAATTTTACCCGTACCGGACGCACACGACCTCAAGCCGGACAAAGAACTGCTGTTTGTAAAAATGGCATTCCATTAGAGATACGCGGCATGTGTTGGAAATTTATGGGAAATATTGCCCTTTAGTGCCAAGGATAAATGGCATTGTGCTATCAAGACCACCACGTAAATCTCGTGTCGGCTTGAGAAAATCTGTGGTGGGAGGTGATCTAGGTCGGCACTCAGAGACTAAGAGCGGCGAAGGCTACACAGGATGAGAAAACTGTGTGTTAATGTAAAGGGTATAGGAGGAGAGAAGTCATATACCATGCCAATAAGACACAAATATCTGGTCTAAGAGAGCAGTCGTTATCACTATCACAGGGGTATTCGTGATCCTTTGACTGTATGATGGAAACAAACCCTCTTAACCCCGTAAGAGCTCTAGCCAACCTACGGCTAAAATTAGTGGCTATTCAAAGATCACAAACGGAGACCTACAGTCGTATAAAATGATTTATAAAGATAGAAACCCGACAGGACCTAAACATGACTCAATAGGCTAGCCAGTTATCTAACAATGACTTGCAATACAAGTTTAATAATGATATAGTTTTGCCGACTAGTAATTCGTAATCCCAACAAAACCATAAGCGAGCGCCAGTGGTTTAGTGGTAAAATCCAACGTTGCCATCGTTGGGCCCCCGGTTCGATTCCGGGCTGGCGCATCTTTTTTTTTTCATCTTTCTGAACGTGCTATTGTAAAATATCATCGGAAAGAAACCTCTTCGGGGCTCACTTCATAAAATAAAATTAAAATTCACCCTTAGAGTCAGTGGCCAATATCGATGACGTCGCAGGGGTTCCGCTCATTACCAAAGCTGTCCGCAGCCTATATGTCATACCTCCGTGGATTTAGAGAAGCATTCCCCCCAATTGCCTTTTTTTAGGTATATCGAAACAGAAACCCCGCTAGCCTGTTTGAAATAATAAAAAAAGAAAGCAAAAATAATAGTGATCACAAAGGGGATCGAACCCTTGACCTTCTCAGAGTGAATGAGACGTCATACCACTAGACCATGCGAGCCACCCTGTGGGATTGTCAGGGTTCCAGCGCCTGTTGGTATTCCAGTCGGGGGGTTGTAATCAGTCATTGATTCACAAGTTACTTATCGTGATCTTCCACAAAAATAAAGATAATATTAAAACCAAGATCATTCTTAGATCTGGAAAACTACTTCCTTATATAGCTTTCTTCGGTGCCTCATTTGCTTTATGCGACAGGATTAGTTTCAGATACTCATTATCAAACAATCCTAGTAGCCTCAACTGGAACCTCATAAGGTTCCTGACACAACTCTCTAACTCTGACAATCCCTGTCAGAGTTAGAGAAGCCATCTCTGAGGCTGTGAGAGAATGAGCTTAGTTGCACGTGCTTGGCAATCTAACGAAGCTTGTGAGAAGGGTTCAACACGTAAGGGGTGGGAATCAGGGGAGTGACCTGATTGGGAAATTAGTCCTTTTTATATATAAGCGTAGATTGTTATCTTATATAGTTTTGTTCTAGCTAGAAAAATGGCTTTTATTTTGGAGACTCTAAGTGAGTCATTGGAATCTCTCTCAGTTGACAGTTACTAGCAAATTGCAGAAACAGTCATAGAATGTTGGTCAGAGTGACAAGTCAAAAACGTCAGACAGGTCCCGGTGGAACGCTGACATAGGATTTCAGGGTTTCAGTACTCATTGGGATTTCAGTCCGGGGTCGTAGTCTGACATTCTCTTCACATGATACAGTCGCAATAATCCACAAAAGGGTACTTCTTAAACAAAACACATATCCCACCAGCGAGAAACCGTTGATTTTTAGCAATCTGTTGCTGAATAGTGTTGGTGTCCATGGCGATAAGTAATCAATGGTTATTGTTTATAATACTTTACTTTTCCTTTGTTTAGGTAACAAAGTCTTGAGTATGTAAATAGAGTACGTATATTCGTTACTTATAATGCTAAGGATAATAAGGGAAAAAACCGCTTATGCCTTTTTATAGACAGTTGATTCTTCCAGTAAAGTTTTTGATTATACTAAAATCTCTTAGTTATTGTTTAATGTTCCTTTAGTTCGCAGTAGGGCATTCTTCGAACAGACATAAAATAGCCCTGTGACACCATCTGTGCGTTGGACCAGATTTTAACAGAAACTACTTCCATATATAGTCTTCTGTGCTTAACTTGTCACCGGTGTTGTAATCTCACTATAACCCCACTGGTAATCTAATCTTCTTGGATCACCATATAGCATTACTCGTTTTGGGTGTGCGCACTCGCACTAAGGAGCCAATTCTGATAACTGCCCCCAAACACTCCTGGTAGACACATATAGTCCCTCTCACAGCCTCGGGTGTAGCTTCCCTGACTCTGACATAAAATACCAGAATTCCAACGCCCGTTGAGCCTTCAGTCAGGGGTTTGTCGTCTGTTATTCTATCCACAAAAAGATTGTCATAATTTTCAACAAGAATAAAGATGATTACTAAACCAAACACATATCATAACTTTTTATTTGTAGTAACCTATTGTTGAATAATGTTGCCGTCCATGGCGATAAGTAATAAACAGTAATTTGTGTTAAGCGTGTAATTGTCACGTGATAAGGATCGATAGCCTATATAAGAGAGTCAGTTCCTCCCTTCCTTTGGCTTATATACATTATATAGCTAATCAGTATACTATAGATAAAGTATACATTCTACTGTTGAAATCAGTTCTTGTAAAAATTGATAGTAACGGGGTAGAAAATATCGAACTTTGATATTTGGGCCGGGTACAATTTAAAACAGAAAATACTTGTCACTGCTGAAAAAAAAAAATACAATACCAGGACAACGAACATTGAACGGGGAACTAAGGAAAATCCGTGGAGGATGAATTCAAAAGTATCAGTTAGAAGTATCGTTCAAAAAATTACCGACAGGTACGCTATTAATGTTTCGATAGGAATAATATGATAATCGTATAGATCAGTAGTGGTTCCCATCTCCGGGTATAAAGAGTGGAAGGCGATTAAAGCGACTCAAAATCTGGCATCCAATCCTTGTTACTCTAATAATTCGCCCTTTTCACCATGGAAGAAGGTGATTAGTTCGGGCTACATCTGTTTAACCTTGAGCTCCTTTCCTGTGCGGCTCGATTGGACCAAGAAGGAACCAGAGTAATGAGCTTCGGAAACGCATGGATTATGCCCATGGCACCGTGTGGGGAGTTCAAATCGTCACCGTGGTAGATGGGGCCTCATTCAAAACATCTATAGCCTCAGAGACTTGCAATTCCTTCACCTTGGTGGTCATATAGGCAGATTTTGGCGGAAAGTTATCGAGGTCTTACGGCCCACGGCGACTGGTTCTGGTCAAGATGATAAATTTCTGGTCAGAAGCGAGAGACTTTTCCATCTCGTCGATACTCAGAGCGGTGAATGTAACAGGGTTATAGTCGGTTTCAAAGACTATCAAATCTGTTATGGTTGGTATTTCTCGGAGGCAGCTTTCTATGTGTTCTAGATATCGGGAAATAATGAAGAGTATGGTAGATGGGATGGAATATAATTATAGGCTTTTACTTGAGAGAAACCTGTACGAGGTCTTTTCCTGTGTGGCCTGTACCAACTCGCACTTTCTTGGCTTACCCATCAAAGTGATAATATCCCCACTATTATCAGTTTTTATCTTTACGTTGATTGAATACGAACCAATGTTCATATTATTGAAAATCTCTCAGTTAACCGGCTGTATATAGATGGCGATCTGCAGCTGCAAAATACATACCTTGATAGAAGAAACAATAGCTTTTAGCGGGGCTATTTTGAGCTTTTCATGGAAAATTCCCCGGTGTGAATCCTCGAAATATCTTATAATAGAGATTCGTCCTCTCATTAGTGAGTAGTTACGGACAAGTGCCTGTTTCCAATATGAAGCACGTACATGTACGTGTTTTGGCGAAGGCATCGAAGCCGCACCTATACACACGTCTGCAAATAATTAATTAATACCGCAGGGATCCTCTACATCGAGAAACCAAATATCTCCATGATAGTACCTTAATATTTATACACAATTGTATTTCGAGGGAAAGGGAAACGAGATGAAGGCAGTATGTTCGTTGTCTCAATTGACGCAATACCTTAAAAGATGGAACCATCACAGTCGAAAGGGAATCTCAGACGGCCAGGGTCACAGGATATGAGAGAAAATAGCCTATTAACTATGTAGGAAATTGGTGAATCACGGTATTGGTAAGCTAGACAATTTCGGCTACTCTAGAGTCACGTTAGAGTCAAAAATTGCTATATTGGCATATGTATTAAGTTGCTATTTACTGAAGTATTACTGCGGCAGTCGGCAGAACTGATAACAAGGATACGGGTAATTAAAAAGATTCCTATTTACGACCGATGTTAGCCCCTAGATCATGCGACTGACGATTAGATGCAGGCAGAACGTGCAGAATGCCTGATAGTGATTTACAAAAGGTGCCGTACTATCTTTCAGTATATTAGACAAAATTCTGTATGAGTAATATCTTTGTTATGTGTTCCGTTGTTCCCGTACCATGCAAGACATCGATTGAATACTAAAAGCAGAGAGTTCTGCCTGTCTGCTCTAGGGGGTTAGATGATGGTTTACGCACTAGACTACGACATCACGGTACGACGCATAAAACTGCATAACGCAAGACACCTAACGCTACGGATCATTTTTGCTCGCCTAAGCATTTCAAATCTTCTCTAATAACGTACTCCAAGATTTAGGTACCCTAGTACCAAATAAATATATTGAGTATATATTGAGTATATATTGAGGGGTTTCGAAGTCCACTGAAAGCGGGAGGCGAGTAGACTTTTTCAAGAGAAAAGAAGCAGATATGTAACTTAACGGCCTAAGAATTCGTACAGGATATGTTCGTATTTCGGAAATCTACCATACTGCCACAAAATAAAGTTTTGTAGGGCGTTACTCGAGAATATTTTAACTAATGCAGGGAATTATACAGGGTGCAGACAGTTTTTAATCCGCGATACAAAAGTTACTGTGATTCAGATAAATTTGCGAAATGCCGTACAATATCACTACTGATTTCCCAACCCGTAGTTGTGCAGTTTAGTCGCTCCAGGCATTACTGAAACGAAGATCCTGCCTTTTGAGTGCATTTCCGTATTTCTTGGCGCTTAGGAACCCGTCGTGGTCACTAGCACACTACCCTGGTCCTCTCTAAATTAATATCAGTTTTGCTCCAAATTTTGCCACAAGACTTTACCTCTCGAAAGGCATACGTGTTGAGGAATTTATATTATAAAGTCGTAATATCTCTTTAGGATCAAAATGTTAACGCAGGGGCCATTACAGTGTAAAACTGTGTAACTTTTCCTGATTCTATAGCTGCAGGGATATAATACATGTTATCTTATAAGCACGCATACTTCGCAGTCCTACAGCCATGTGGTCAATAAGCAATTCATAGTTCTTAGATTGAGGTGCAGGAAAATAGTCAGATTCTCGACCGGGGTAGTCCCTTGTACGATCACGGGCCACCCAAAGCAAATAGTCTTGTATAACATATGACACTATGTTTCAGTCTTTATTTTGGCGCCGTGCGTATAAGTAGATCAATTTCAATTACAGTGTTATAGATATAGGTGTTTAACACAGTAAGAAAGTTTTCAAGGCTTGTCATGACGAACTGTATGGTCACTCCAAGGCCTCACCTCCCGGACCCTCATCGCAGTTGTTAGGTGGGATAAGAGGTGGTCGTGGGAATGACCTCGAGCTAGTGATAGGATGACCCCCGTAAACTCGTGAGGCCTAGAATGAGGTGATGCATATTATCGCTAAACCGATCATTTCAGCAGGCACAATTTTTGGCTGGATAGGTACGGGAATCCGCGCGATTATAAAGCTGAACACGTGTTATTACGATGACAGTCATAAATTAAAACACGCTCGCAGAGTAGAATGAGTTCGTTTTCTATTTAAGGAGCTGAATCTTCCTTGATTGTTTTTATTTGGAAAAACATAGATACACCAGAACCATGAGGTATAATGCACTCCCATTGATTTTCACCTGTATTATCGTGTTAGCGGGTAGATACTCTACCTCCGCCCCTCTTGACAAGCAAGAAGTTAACAACTTACCAGTGCTAGTCCCCAGAGCTGTTCTAGGCAGGCAAATCAGGCTTGAAGGGACTGGGCTCACAGTTCAAGGTGTTATAGGCACCTCGGCTATCGGTATCGCAGCCTGTGTTTTTTCGGCTCCTGTGTGCTTAGCTGTTGGTATAACTGCTATCATTAGTATCTTCTTCGGATAGTATCAGTGGTCTTTTGATAGCTCAACAAACTTACCTGAACACATGGTAAGAAAACTTGGAGCTGATGGTTTACTGGTGAGGTCAGGCGTTTTTCGTAACACAACTGGCTTACCTGCTAACGAGTTTATCAGTCTTGGTCTTTTGGGTGATATACCGCATGCTTCAGCAGCTATTCTTGAATACGTCGGCAATAACACTCATTTGTTTAAGCGTGATTTTGACGCTGGCAGCTTCTTGTCTAGTTATGAAGTACAGTTCAAACACAGCCCCGAGACTGGGGTCGCAACTTTAGTTATTGGTCTCAGTGGGTTCACTCCGGCTGACACCAACCTGAGTTCTAACACAGCCTTACAGAAACGTGACAGTTCTAATTTAATGTCATATAACTGGGACAACAGCAATGAACAGTTGTGGGATCAACATAATAAGGATAGTGGCTGGATAAATAATGCGGGTAATGACGTCGCGAACTGGGTAGTCCACGAGAAGCCTTATGGAAACTATGTATGGAACAAGTGGTGTGCTTGCTTTGATGATAACCAAAGGCAGACTGGTGCGAATGTTGACCATGGTGAGTTTTATATCGGTGGTTACGGCGGTATTGATGGTGGTTGCAATGCAGATGATTGTGGTTGGTCTGAATATGGTTGTAATACCGACAGCTGGTATGATTGTAGTACGTAACCGTTAGGATTGCTTGGCCATGCAAGAGTGTTGACGCGACGTTGATAACGAACCAGTTTAGTATGAAATATGATGAGTAATTTAACTTATTGAATTTATGGCATATCTAGTAGATAGTATATATATGTATATATATTCGTTGACCTTTAGCAATCTTGATGGAATCTGACCCCATACATATCTAATTTCACTGGGCTGTTTGATGTCTGTTTGAATAATGGCATATAGCGCCTCAAAAGAACATCAAACAGTCCTATGACATCAGGCGTGTACAGAATCTAACTTCAACAATGTGTATTCCTACTCATTAACCACATCTTTGCCCAACTTGTAGTTGCCCATGGCCTTTCCCCACTGGATTTTGGCCCTGGTAATCGGCAATAGTCTTCTCAAGTTCTTGAACACTGTTTCGTTCAAGCCATTCACCTTAGTGATAATCTCGAGCTCCACGTCATTTTCCACCTTGCTGATGGCCGTCACCACACCCTGGAGCCCCACAGAAACCGCCTCAGGTTCGAGATGGCTCTTCAACCTCACATTACCGTCCTCATAGTAGTGGATGTCGAGCTTAACATCGATGTCTCGAAGCGCAGAGCCGTCAAATGTGTACAAGGAGCACCAGGACCCGTTGTAGAAGTTGGCCGGGTTATGCTTCCACCCGTTGATTATGATCGTGTACGCTTCACCACCGAAGCCTGGAGGAACCACCGTGAAGGCCGCCTCCGAGGGGTAGTGCTGCGCCAAATACGTCGCAAGTTTGCCTTCCAAGAGCTCATAGTCAGCGGTCCGGTAGTCTGTGTCAAAGTCCTCGACGTCAATGGCTTGCATCGTGTGTACATCCACGTTGAACTGCTTACCGGTACTAAAATCGACGTACTTTTGTGTCGACGACTGAGTGTGCTGACTGATAATCGTTGCCTTTCCGTTGAGAAGAACCACGTTTCCGCGCGCGTTGTAGGTCTCCAACGCAGCGGCCAATTCGTGCTTGATCGGCTCGTCCACGATGGCCTTGATGTTGTTTGTGACTTCTTGGAGCTGGTGGTGTTAGTAGCTGTGCAGAGAGGACAAACGAGTACATACCTCACCTGGCGGGGCATCCGCGATAAAATCGTTGATGATTGTTTGCAATGACATATGGTGATGGATGAATCCTGTTATTACTGAGCTTGCGATAGGTGTATATGTTATTTGTGTTATCAGGGATACGGAGATTTCGCGAGCTATGTGCAGGTCGAAGTCATAGTGCGAGTTAACGAGTAAGCTGAAAAGAAGCTGTTATGTTTTTGGTATTCCAGTGGTATAAGTAGGTGAAGGGTATTGAAATAGCTGGAAATGAAGATATACCTTTGTGAGGTGAAAATAGCCTTATGTAGATTCAAGCTAGATTTTGCTTTCGCAAGCAAAAATATATATCTGTCTATATAGATTTTGTTTACATTTATGTTTGTACATCTATAAATATAAATGTATAATATTCCAAAATAATTATTCGGACCGTAAATTCTGCCTTTGTTTGAACCGTTTCTGCTTTATTCAGCCATTGAAAATGATTAGTATTTACATAACTTAGGTTTCCCAGGTTTATCGTCTCAGGCGTAAACCGATATACACGAATGAGATCAAACGAGAACATCACGTGATATACCTGATTGTAGCATTGGAGCCCCTCAAGCTGGCTGCTTTATTGGAAGTTTGGTAATTTTTGCCGATTTTCTCAAATAGCCTCGAAAGCAAGATATATATAGAGAAACGAGAATAAAACAAGTATGTACATGTAGCTTTTCTGAAAAGGAACTTTTAACGCGTATTTTAGGATGAAAATGTCTGTCATTGCCAAGAAATCCCCAGTAGTTAAAACAAAGCACCATTTGAATACCAAAAAGTCAGATATAACGTTTATATAGCCTTTTTTCGTTTGAAGTTATTTATTTTCTTCACATACTCCAACAGAAGCACTCAAAACTAAATTTCCGACCAACGATAAGTCCAAAACCGTCGCAAAAAATCCTGTTTTAAGTCCCTGTCCAGTCTACAATCAGCTTCCGTCTGAAAAAAAAAAAGTAATCCACCATGATTACTCTATGAATATAGATACATTTCACACTTGAACTTCGCCTTCGGTTCCGCTCTACGTACTCGTACCCACATCAAAGCTTCCACTCCCTCTCGTCCCGTATGGTGGCACCCTTGCCCCTCCGTGCTCGCTCAAAATCGCTCGCAACGTTGCCTGCAAGTTCTCAGTGTCCCCCTTTACATCCTCGATCCCAAACACATAAATACTGTAAATCCCGTAGAGCCCCACGAGAGTGCTGATAAACAACGCCACGTACCCCTTAAGCGTAAACCCCTCCGGAAGCGGCTGTGGCTGCACGTTCTCGCCGGCCAAATCCAACCACGCCACTGCATTGCCCGCGGCGTTACCACGGGTCGGAATGCGCGCGGCGGCACACACTTCAAGATGGTTCTCCAGAATTGCACCCTGTTGACTTCTTAACTCTTCTGGCGCCTCGATAAGCGTGATGGCCAAGCCCTGCTCCAAGTGCCAGTCCACATGACAGTGGAAGAACCACACACCGGGATTGTCTGCACGGAAACGGAGCACCATGTACCCGTTCGACTCGACAAGTATGGTGTCACGGCGCATTGGATACTCGGGTAACGACTCATGCGCGGACTCGTTGTACGCTGTGGGTTCGTCAAAAGCCGGGGACTTTGCCACAATCTGGAACACGTGCCCGTGGAGATGGAACGGGTGCCGCCCATCGTCCTTGTTATTGACAACGATCTCAACCACCTCGTCCTTTTGGAGAACAAACGCATTGGTGTTGGAGCCATAGATGGCGGCGTTGTTCACGAGCTCTTCTGGAGCCGAGAGCACCGAATAGAGTGTCGGCACGCGCGGCGCGACGTACGTGATGTTGTTGAAAAAAGAGTACTGGACACCATCGCCGAGGTTGTCCATGATAACGTCGAGCACGATGAAGTAGTCCGGGTCCGCAAGGAGCTCCTCAGGGTCGCGCGGACGCAAGTCGGCGTCATTAAATGCAGATAACTTGCGGGCCAGCGCGTGCGGCAATGAGAGGTTCGAGTCGTAGACCATGTAGTTAACCCCTCGCGTTTCCAAGTCCGCCGGAACACTGTCCAACATTTCCTCGTCCATAACCTGAACTATAGCAAAGTTCTTATCGCTGGCTTGCTTCGTCTTCACAAGCACGGAGTAGCGCTGGGCGACGGTGAGATAGAGCATGTCAGTGGTGTAGGGCTCGACATAGATCCCGTCGGCCTCAACCACGGTCATCTCATGGCCCTCGATGTACAAGTACTGTGAGAGGAAGAGGCCCGTGTTGACGACTCGCATAAGGTAGGTTGTATTCACCGCAACCGCCCATGTGACATTGCGCGACCCATTGAAGAGAACGTTCTGTGGAATTGGTTCAGATCCCGTCGGGTTGAACCGCGACAAAAAGTCGTGCTTCAAGTCAGACGTCTCGCGGTGGTACCACTCGCTGATCGACACCACAACCTCCTCGTCGTATGCAAACGGCTCTTTTTTCTCGTGCACCACAAGGACCCCGCGGAGCCCGTCACCGTACTGTGCACCCGAGTGTGAGTGATACCAATATGTTCCGTGCTGCGAGTCGACGGTGAAGTTGTACGTGAGCGTGGAGCCCGGTGGAATCGGACACTGCGTCACCATTTCGGGGCCATCCATCAGGTTGCTGCCCTCCTGAAAAAGCCCGTGGAAGTGCAAGGATGTGTTGTGGGATGGCAAGCCGTTGGTAAGGTGGAGAACCAAACGGTCACCGCGCGTGATGTGGATCGTTGGGGCCGGGTACGCGCCGTTGATCGCGAGTACACGGCGCGTAAACACGCCGTCCGGGTTCGCGTCGATCCACAGGACGGTGAAGTTGTACTCGTGGGTGGCTGCGAACGTTGCCGTCACGAACGCAAAAAGGCACCAGAGGGTCAACATGTCTATAGGTGTATGGTGTGGGTCTAGGTAGACGGAATATTGAAAATTTTTTTCTGCAACGCCAGTCGGTTTCAAGTGTGACGCAAACGCAGATGTGAGTAGTGGCGAGTCGCCCGGTGTTAAGGGTCTGGTGGGGACACGACTAAACGAAGACGAGCGTGTTGAGCGCTGGCTCAGTATTTGGGTGATATGATGGGGGGGGGGGGGGATAAGGAATTGAGTAGATTCAACCAGAAGAATAAGAGAGGAAGATCTAGCAAAAAGGGAAAAAAAAGATATATCGACAACGGCAGGACTCGAACCTGCGCGGGCAGAGCCCAAAAGATTTCTAATCTTTCGCCTTAACCGCTCGGCCACGTTGCCCGATAGTTGAAAAAAATGTATTTAAAATCTATCCAGCCATGCCTGTTCAGCATCAGAGCTCCGAACTTTTGAGTCGAAGTTTTTAAACAAACTTTGCTACACCAGTTAATAAACATACTCTCTTTACAGAAAGACTGAAATATAAATTGACGGGTTAATGTGCCACACGTATGAGACGGAAGACGCTGGTACTGATGAACTCAGTCCTAAGCTAATCGGATGGATTATATACTGGTATTTTTAAAACTTTCCTCGCCTGCGCCAGTAACTTCATCTGTATGCCTCACTAGTTTTGGAGGTACCCTACCTACCCTGTACTACCTATAATAAATCATTGTACACCGTGGTAGAGCTATGTTTATCCAATTACCAGAAGTAGCGCAACTTTTCCATTTTTTCTGGCGTTTTGGTGTCAGCCAAGGAACTGGCCTGTACCGGTTTAGGTGCTTGGGCCTTTGGTGGAGCCTCGGAGGTCTCTTCCGGGGCGATCCTTTTGGTTTGTGTAGGATCCGCCTTATGCTTCGCCGTATAGGAGCCATACACGGGCTTTTCAAGAGCCATGTTGCCGGACTCTTCTTCGATGACAAGGTCTGTGTGGACAAACTGTAAATGGGCCGACTCGGTGTCCTTAAACTCACATCTTAATTGTTGGATGTTGAGTTTGATTTCCTCATGGAGCAGGAAGTAGTCTGACTTTGGAGCCATGGACTTGGCAGAAGCGGCCACTGTGGGCGGGACGCCCACCACGGGTGACATCGAGGGGGTTGCCACTGGAGCAGAGGTTGGTTCCGTCTTTGCAGGTTTGACTGTGGGTTTAGGCTCCGTAATAATAGAACCAATAGGAGTGACCGGCTTACCAACTAATATAGCTGGAGAAGACGTAGGGGATACTTGCTCTTCCGCAGCCTTTGGAGACGACGGACCAGTTTCTGTCACTTCAAACGCCTTGGGAGCCGCAGAGTCCGATGTCCCGGTTTCTGGCTGAGGGCCAGTCTCGGCTTCGTCAGTAGCCTTTTCTTCAGCGATTCTGGCAGCCTGTGTTTCGAGCAATGCAACATCCTTTTTCATATCGGCAATCAACTTTTGATAAAGGGCTTCCTCCACGGCATCATCCACCGCGTTCGGCACAGCATCAGCGACACCACTTTCAGGTTTGACCGGCACCGCCTTAACAGGCGCCACCTTGACCGTTTCCTTCGCGGGTTTTTTCTGAGTTTCGACCTCTGGGGCTTCTTTCTGAACCTTTTCCTGGACTCTGTTCTGGCCAGATATGGGCTTAGAGGAGACTAAGTCTTTCGGAAAATCCTCAGGCATTAAGCTGGTGACATCTGAAGTCCTAGCTGGTACAAATTTCTTTAAAGCCTTCTCAACAGCACTTGAATTGACAGGACCAGTGCCTGAAACAGGGATACTGCTTGTAACAGGGACACTGCTTGGAATCTTAGCCTCAGGCTCTTCCTTCTTCTCCAAAAGCTTTTCCAAATCTGGTTTCGCCTTCACCGGTAATGGCACAATCTCTCGGTCTTTCGGAATCACCACTGCCTTCAACTTATCCTTTTTGGCCGAAACCGGCTTGGCCTTCTTCACCTTCACCTTCTTGTCGTCAGCCAGCACCTTGACCGCAACTTCAGGCGCAATCTCTTCTGCAACCACAGGAGCGTGATAGGTGGTCTCAAGCAAAGCGGTGAAATTCTCGTTGATCTCACTTAATAGCGTCTTGAACGCCTCCGAACCAGATTTGACCATGGTCTTAGGCAGAGACAAAGGCCTGGTCACTGGAATCAGAGCTGGCTTGATGGCAGTGGGAGTGACGCCGTTCTCAGGGACTGGCAGAGGCGATCCACGCCTCAAGACCTTTTTGCCTTTATCAGGCATGCTCTCAGAGAGCGACGGGAATTTAGCAATATCAGCGGGTGGGATGCTGTCGCCTCTCTTCAAAATGACTCGCTTCGGTTCAGAAACAAGGGGAAGAGGGATTTTGGCTGGTTCTAGCGCCGTCTTCTTGTTTGCAACGGAAGCTGACCTGTTTGATGCACTAATCACACCCTTAGGGTAAGAACCCCTAATACCATCTGGGGACATCTCAGCTTTGGTCTCCTTGACTTTTGCCTCGACAGCCCTCGCAGCCTTAGCTTCGGTCCTCGACCCAGCTTTGGGGACGGCAACCTTTTCGGTATCTAGATCCGGAAGATCCCAAACGTTGCTCGGGGTAGGCGACGGCGACGGTGTGTCAACGAGACTGATCTTCCGCGCCTTCTCGATGCCAAACGGACTCCAGGTGGACTGTGGCGAGTTGTCCATGGGCGCAGCATTGGTCCAGATCGAACTGTTTCCGGTTCTGTCCGCAGGCGGCTCTGATGCAGAGTTAAAGCGTGGGCCTTGTGGGAAGATCCCAGGGGGAGCACCGTAATTGAGAGTTTCAGAGGAGCTCATGAATGTGGGATCTGTAAAGATGTCAGGTTTCAATAGAAGCTGGGAAACCTCAAACGGCCTAGCAGACAGCCCCGCAACCCTGTTTAATCCAGAGTTGACGATTGGAGGAGTCTCCATACCTGAGGTTTGCATAAACCCACTTATAGGGGTCCCCAAGTTTGAGCTAAGCCCCAAGCCTGAACTGGTGCTATTCAAAGCTGAAGCTGTTACATCTGAACTGGCACTATTTAAAGCTGAAGCTGTCTTACCATAACTGGCGCCACTGAAAGTGGAAAATGTTACACCTGAACTGATTTCCCCCAGACCGCATCCGGTGTCATCACCGGCGCTCATAAACACATCCGAAATCTGCTTGATAAGAATCAAACACATCCCAATGAACATTAAGGCCTCCACCCCAGCCGTCGCATCGTAAAACTTGCTCACAAAGTCCTCTCCACCAAATTGTGTGCACCAGGAAAACTTCGCTAAAACGCTAGCCTTCTCGGGGCCAATCTGCACCGAGGGGACAGATGGCTGCTGGTGAATGATGCTCATCAACCATGCGACAGGCGGCATATCTCTGCGCTGCTTTCCGTTGACGGTACCGTCGTACTTATCGAGCCCGTTGAGATACACATATAACGGATGTTTACTGGCGGTGAGCGGCGCGAAGAGCATTTGGAGAAATGTCTCGGGCACCGGCTGGGCATGGTGGAGGAAAGGGCCCAAGCCCATGGATGTGAGAACCAGGTCTACCACATGGTACACCTTCTGGTCGTCGATGTAGATGGAAACAATCGGCGAGAGGTGGATGGATGAGTGGAATGCAGGCAGAGATTGGGTAAGTGGCAAAGGCTGGGTGAGAGGCGAGCCCTGGAGCACTTGCGTGAGGGGTGAATCGTGAGCTTCAGAGAAACTTTCATCATCCAGCACCATCTGCGCTTCAATAAACTGGATCTGGTCACGGTACATATATTCATCAAGCGACGTGTCAGCGTTGTTATTACTATGACTATAAGCGGCAGCATTGGCAGGAAAACCCATAGAATCAGCGTTAGCATTAACATTGGTGACTTTGGCGTTAACGCTGGGCGTGTTGGTATTGCTATAAGAATCGGTCTCACCAGCATGGACCCCGTAAGCACCGTAGGAATTGGATCCCTCGTCATAGACATTGGTCATGGAACTATCCACGTAACCACCGGTGTACAGATGGTCCTGGTGGCCCTGGTACATCTGGTCCTGGTATCCCGGGTAGTAGGACATGTAGTTAGGTTGACCGAACTGCGATAGCTTCGCACCAAGGTTCACGGATGACGAGTTACCCAGCCGTGGGTTCATAGCACCTGGTGTCGAGAGGCTTCGTGCGAGCTCCGGAGGTGCGGGCCAGTCGATTGGCAAACTTCGGCTGGGTGTCTCCTGGAATAGCTGGTTGGTATACATTGGAGATAGCCGGAAGAGCACTTAGAAAACAGTGGTGTCGCGAACCAAAGTGATCCTTTTGCGGAATAATTTTGCCAATTTTTTTTTACTGTTAGCCGAAAAATTACTAAGGCAGTGCCGCGCACGACTAAGCGGCTACCCCACAAGGAGGAGGATGGGGGGAAATAAATATTTGGAAAGGAGGGAAAATACTTTAATGCGTATAAATTGCAATTGAAGACGGGAAATTGTTATCGATGGAAAAGGATAAAATATTCTGGATTAGGGGGAGGTGGGCTGGATTTTGTGTATTCCATTTTGCACTACGGAATTCATGATCCGGCTTGACAAAACTGTCGAAGTTATATCAAATACTGGCAGTGAAAAGGGGGCCTTAGCTCATTGCCCAATTGAATTTATCATATTTTCAGCAAAATTACCCGTCAGCCATAATACAGCTTTCCAACAATCGACTTTTTAACTCAAATTCAGAAACGCTCCAAGGCTATTATCCAGGAAAATGCCGTATTTTTGATTTGCTCCACAATTAGAGTATGCCCCTTTCACTCACCAATGCCGCCTTTAATTACATCACCAGGTGAATCTGAAATAAGTTACGTCCTCCCTTCAGCAATTCAAGTTTGCACCCGGTGGCCCTTTCATGCTCTCCTGTCTAGTATAGCACCTACCCACTTCCCAAAAGCAATCAAAATAATTACTATTCCCGTAAGAACCTACACCATCATCCAGCTACCCTCGTCCTCCGCCACGCTGTTTTCATCTACCTGGCCTTCACTTTGTTCGTTCTTATACGCCTTGCGCTTCTCCGTGATGAGTTTCCTGGCGTACTCCAACTCACTATAAATCGTTTCGATCGCGGTGGAAACTCCATTCTCGGCCCTGATTTGCTCTCCCACGAGCTTGGCTTTCTCAATGATTCTGGTCTTGGTGGTGACGTCCTTGATCGCCTTGGCCAACGACTTTGCGTTCAACTTGCGCAAGTACACTCCGGCACCCAAGTCCTGGACCCTACCCCCGTAGAAGTACTGGTCGCCAAAGAATGGCTTGATAATAGTGGGCGTGCCAGCACGCAACGATGCTCCGGTGGTTCCTGAACCACCGTGGTGAACTGCGGCATCCACCTTCGGGAACAACCAGTCGTGCGGAATGGCGCCCGCGTTGTACACCAGCGGCGGAAGCTCAACCTCGATTTCATCCTTCTTGTTGAGTCTATCCGACCACCCTTTGTTCAAAATGCAGTACACATCCGCCTGGACCACCGCATCCACCACCGCTTGTGTGAGCTCCTTCGGATCGGAAACCACAATGGACCCGAACCCGATATATACCAACTTCTTCCCGGCCTTCCCCGCAGCAGCTATGAACTGCACCAATGCGTCGGGAGGCGTATAGGTCAGCGATTCGTCCAAAAACCAGTACCCCGTCACTTTGACCCAGTCGGGGAAGTCCACCGATGGAGGGAACACGGTCGGCGACACGTTGTACGAGAACGGTACCTTGAACTGCTGCATCTTCTCCAAGTTAGTCCGCGGAAGGCCCAAGGTGTCCACGCGCCAGGGGTTCACCTGGCCCGATATCCCTTTCCAGAACACGGTCTCGAACATCACGTGGGTGAGGTAGTTGTAGGAGCCACCGCGCTTCTGATCGGGCACAATGAAGGCATGGGGATACGCTCGGGTCTTGGTCCACGGCATGGTGAACGCTCTGAGGTACGGGATATTGAGTGCCTCGGCGATGTGCAAGCCTGCCATGGCCGATGGTGACTCGATCAACACGTCAGCCCCCTGGCACGCCTCCCAGCTGGTGGAAAGAAGCTCGGAGATCCAGCCGCGGAACTTGGTGGACGCCTCTTTGAGAAAACTCACCGACATGGTACCGTGGGTGACCATGAGCGACATCAACTCAGCCGGGTTACCTGCCACCTCCGCAAACTCCAACCCGTGCGACTCGATCCACTCCTGGAACTCCTTGTGGGTCGCAATCGTCACCCTGTGGCCTTCGGCCGTCAAACCCTTGCCCAACGCGATGTACGGCTGAACGTCGCCTCGCGAGCCAATTGTCAAGAGCGTAAACTTGTACGGTCTCAGCGGTCGCACTTCCGTCTTGAAGTATGGATTCTCTTCAATGATGATCGGAACGTCGAGCCCGGCTGAGCTGGTGAGCTTGTCCTCGTACATCTGTAACCGTGCGCGCTCAAGCTTGCCTCGTTCGATACCAGCCGTGTCTTTAGGCCTGTGTCTCCGGTGCGAAAGCGCGTCCATCTGCTTCAAAAGCACCAACTCACAGTCATCCCGGGAACTAGACGTCGCAAACTCCATGAAGAGCTCCTCGTGCCCGTGGATCACAATTACAAGTCCCGAGTAGCCAAACCGGAACCCTTTCTCCTTGTAGCACGTCTCAACATCCGCAAACGGTAAAATCATAAGAAAGTTCACCCCTGGGAGCAAGCTGCGGAAACAAATCTCCTTCTCGCCCACATACATCTTGCCGTACGTGGGGATGGTCTTCTGAAAGTGCGCGTAGTAGCTAGACACCAATCGCGCGTTGTCGGGAAGGCTGAAGTGGTGCTTGAAGTGGTCGTTCGCCACCTGGCGATCGTGCTCGGACGTGACGTAATACGGGTCATCAGCCCCGAGCTCGACAGAGTTGGGGTTGGAGTAGTGTGCCGGCCCGGCCGCCCACATTGACGTCGCGTGGCCAATGAGGTTGGCCGAGGAAACCACCTGTTTAATGAACGAGCCAGGGCCCCAGCCCCGGTGGCGACGATGAAACCGGGTGACCGGCTCGGGCAATGTGTCCTCGTCCGAGTACTCGACCTCCAGGTCAGAGTGTTCGGGGGTTTGGCTTCTGGGGGAGACCACCAACGGAGACCCATTCCCGGTTCCCCCGGTGGTGTACCTCACCCTTGGCTCTTCCTTCCCAGAGCTTCGTCTTGTGAGTTTCCGGAGCAAACTGCCGGTGATCTCCAAGTTGCTACGGTCTGCCTTGGGTTCCGTTTTTGATAAAGCGGTTCGGTCATCGGGGGTAGCTTCCCCCGTTTTTATCCCTACCAACTCTTTCAATGTCTTGTAGATCTCCTCGCCACAGCTAAGGCTCATAAAATACCAGTCGTCCACGGCGTATTCGTCTGTGACGCGTGCACGGATCATCATCGGCACGTTGGGGAGATCCAACAATAACGTGCGGTCCTCCCCGACACCGTCAAACATGTTGTTGCCCTCCACATCGATGATAGACCGAAGGGGAATTTTCACGGATACGTGGTCACCGTTCTGCTTCGCAGTAAAAACCTGTTTTTTGAGGAGATTGATCCACTGGCGCGCCGCGTGGCCCGACGAGGCTCGCATCCGGTACGTGCGAGACTCCATGATGATCTTGAACCAGGCGTACTCCGCATACACCTCCAGGTCTATTCCATCGCCGTCCACCTCCTGGGTGAAGGGGTCAAGCGCGCTGGATCGTTCCTTCTCGGTTTCATGGCTGAGCTCCACGCGGAGCACGTACCGCAAGTCGAGCACCACGTTCGGGAAGTACAAGTCCGTGGCGCTGTTGTACACGTTGAACGTGGTCTCCTTCAACACGCACCACTGCTTGGAGATCCGGTTCCCGGGGGTGAAGCCGGTTCGGAGCGCCAACCCCCCCGAGTGAACAACTTCCCCCTTCTGCTTCGGGAGGTACGCAAAGAAGAGGAGGAAGTTGGTTGTGAGGTACATGTGGCCCAGGAGCAACACGTCACGGAGCAACATGCACTGGTAGTTGGCCACAAACTGCTCGTCAGGCGAGAGCTCGAAGCGCTCGAGAAGCTTAGACGAGAGTTCGTTGATCCGCGAGGATTTGGTGGGTTCATCGTCGTCGCTGTCTTCGTGGGTCGAGCGGTTGAGGTTGGACACCATAGAGACCTGAAAAAGCGTCTGGGTGCGTTCGAGCTTTGGGAGCTTGCTGGCGAGTCGGACGGTTTCGTCAGAGTCGGACGGTGCCAGAGGATCGTAGGCGGTTTTCTGAGAATCAGTCAGGGTTCCAGTCTCCAGAGAGCGGTCGTGTGCACTTTGGGCTTCGCTATTCGCTCTTATTGTCTCATCCTTGTCTCTTTGCTGGTGCTTGGCAAGGATCTCGTCCAAACTCTTGTTCATATCTACGGCATCGGTCAAGTCAAACGCATCGCTGCTGTGCTTTTTGCGGTGGCGTCTGGGAATCTCCGCTGGCTCTTCGGCGTCGGCGTCGATGTACATGCTCGCGGCAGAGAGCATGGTGACAATGGACTTGGCCATGCCGTAGATGGGCTTTGCGCAGTCTAGATCAGCCGGTTTCTTGTGGCCTCTACCAAAAGATTTAAGCTTGGGGAAGTGCAGTGGTTCTGGCGATGCCTCCCGTGTGGAAGCTCCCGAACCAGCGGGGGAAACCACAGGGGTGGAAGCCACGGAAGTGGAGGCAGACGTGGATTGAGAGACAATGGGTGTGGATTTGGATGTCTTTATCGACCCATGCCCCGTTCCTGGCACTTCGGTATCGTGCAGACCGCCTTTAACACCGGTCTTGTTTGAGGAGGTGGGCCTGATAACGGTCTTATCGTTGGCGTTCTTGGGGTCATCGCCCTTCTTGGGAGAGTTTGATCTGGGTGACATCTTGAAGCCGGGCGACAACGAACGGAGGATATTTCTGACAGACTTGTCGCGCCTGAGCGGTGTGGGCAGGACAATCTTCTGGTCCATGGTTTCTAATATCGAAGGGGAGTCGTTTGTCACCACCGGCAACTCTGTGGTATCATTTGCGCCTTCTCTCGGAAAAACGAGGAATTTTCTGTGCGTTTGCGGAGAGCCCATTGCGATAAGGATTTGGCTAGAGGTGAACAGAAGTAATCAGCACTGCGTGTTATATAAATAATATAGCGTTCTCTAGGACAGGGGCAAAAGAACCGGATAGCAACTTTAAACGTGTGCCATCCAGGGTGAAAAATAGCCGCCAGCTCCGATAAGACGCAGTGACGTGAGTTGCGATCGGCACGTGATAATGATAGACGGGAAGCCCGGAGTTCGGAGGCTGTCGGCAAGCAGATAGACGAGATTTCCAGGGTGTATCCATATTTATTATAATGGACTGTAAAAGGTTGTATATTCATATTATGGTATGGTATTTTTGAGGGGTGTAAATTCATGGTCAGCCGTGTTGGGGGTGGGGCGATAGCGCTCGGTAGAAATCCTGTCTTACTACGTTATCAGAATGTAAGCATACGCATCAGTGGGTGCTGATTATTTACGGGTAAAGCACCGTGGGCTGTAAACAAGTTTGGTATATATCAAACAGGTACAACGTAGAGAAATGCCACCGAGTGTGGAGCTGTACCATTTGATCCAATTACTTTATACATGGCCGTGCCAGACCCTCATCACATGCTTAGAGCACGTGACGGATGCTTGGTGATTATTAAGTGATTGGGAAAGGGAATGCATATTGTGTAGTGGTATGAAAAGAACCAGAAAATCACCCTGAAAGGTGACGGGTTTAGATATAGAGGTATAATGCTATAGCACATCGGACATGTAGGCGATATGCATATGCCCACTATGTAACTTACGGTGCATTTCGTTACCCTATTGGCAGATGTACCACCCGATCTACCTCATCTATTTTCGCTGTTTTGAACAAATACAGATGGACTCTGGCAAGGCCTATATTAAAATAGCTTATTTTCCTATTTTACCCAAACAATCGATGCATTGTGTACAAAACATACATTTAGCAGGCATAAGAACAGAAAACCAAACCCAAACCCAAAATTATCGCCACGCTGGCCGCACAGCGGCACTGCCGATATCCCGCATACTCTGCATTTTCCGCAACCTGTCGGTACCAGCCAGTGGGGCCTTCAAGTCGGCAATGGACCTGGATGACCGCAACGGTCTCTTGATAGAAGCCGACTCAATAGATCGGGAAACCAGGTCAGTGGATCTGGGAACAGGATCGCTGATGGATCTGGTGGAGGTAGACCGCGGAAGCTGCGAGCCAAAATGCGTGGTTTGCGATCTCGGGAGCACGCCAAAGGGGGCTGCTTGCGACCTTGGCACCCCACTAGCTTCCTCTGGACGCGATCTGGGAAAGATTTTTGGTTTTTCCATTTGCTTGACAGCCAGTGCCTGTGTGTGGGCAGTGACGGACTTGGCGATGGGCAACGGTCTGGTGATGCTGGCAGTGGAGGTGGATCTGGGAATACCCGTTTTGTTCAACGTTCCGTATGATTTTTTCGCATTGAGCAGCCTTTCTTCGGGCCGGCGGGGTGGGGACGACGAGAGATCGGCTCGTGAGTGGGAGATGGTCACATCGGTGGTGGGCGCTGCTTTCAAGGAGGAGGAGGTGGTGGATCTGGTAATTTTGGCTAGAAACGACGAGGATGAGAAGGAGGCGAAGTTTGTATGCAGTTTGGCTGGTGCCTGCGGCCGGATCCGGCTGCGAAACCCGAGCCGCGAGTTGGTCTGTCGCATTGTCTCGTGTTGGCGCTGCTGCTGTCGCAAGACCTCGGGCAGCCGGACCGGTTTTCGCTCCTTGTTGGTTGCGTGGAGTGGGCTGTTTTTCAACGTCAACACCTTCTGCAACTCCCCAGACATACCTGTATGTCTGACCTCGCCGACTTTTGGCGTGGAGACAAAGGAGTCGGAGCTGTGTTCGGCATGGGGTCCCTTTGGGGTCACCTCTTGGCTGCCCAAGAGCGTCCGCCGTCTTTTTGTCACGGATTCAATTCGCATGCTGCTATCACGTTTGTCACTACTGGTTTCAATGGGGTCGATGTCCATAACGATTTCCGTGCGCGCGGGCGTCGCGTACACGCGCGTGTTTTTGCCACGCGCGTTAGGGTCATCGCACATCGGCGCCTCCGAGTGAGGTGCGCGCGCCGCGGAGTAGTGTGAGTCTATACTCTCCATTTTGCTGAACCCCGATACATGTGTAAGGGAGTACCGATGCGATGACTTTCTCCTTCCGGTGTTGGCGTTCAATCTACTAGCACGCTTATTCGCGAGATAGTTGCCCCTCACGTTGCTCCGCACCGGCGAGAGCTTTAAGCTGGAGCTGATGAGCTTATCCGCGGCTCGGTCATTCAACTCGTCCAACACCTTGGTGGAGAGCTTGCGCGAGTACTTGCCCTGAATGAACTTGGAAAAGTCGTCGTCGAGCTGTTCGGGCTGGCCAGCCTCGAAGTCAAATTGCTGGCGGATGGGCGACGTGAAGGAGGGGTATACGGTGCGCGTGCGTGCACGCTCGAAAGCAAACTGGTGCGCGGTTGGCGGCTTGGATGGCGTCTCACCCTGGCGCGGAGGCGACCCGAAGGAGGCGTTGGCAGTGGGCGAGCCCGTCATGTCAATATCAGTGGACATGTCTGGATTTGCCCAAAAGAAATTGTAAAGGTACTCAATAGGAGAGACGTATCGCCTGGGCTGTGTTTGTGTAGTGGTGGTCTAACAGCTTTCGAAGGAGCACTGGGATCCGGATCTCTGACGTGGTTGTTGATCTGTTTTTTTTTTGGTATAGTTTTTACTGGGGATCTTTCCTGCAGGTCGCGCCCGATTTGGTAAGAGATGTAAACAAGCGAGTACCGCCACATCGGACTGCCGCGAATTGCCAGGGACATGGTACCGAATCACAATGGCTAGTTATCGCATCTCATCTAAACTGTCTAGCCAAACCGTCTTTATGGTTTAATTTTCGATCTGGATGATTTAGGGAACATTGATTCTGTGGCCGTGAATGGCTAAAGGACCTGAAAGAGGTTACTCATCGACAAGAGATCAGCCCAAACACTATAGGCAAATTTTGAGTCTGCCTTTCAGAGAGTCGGGCATCTTTAGTATAACAATACTTTTTTCTGTTTTCAACAAATTATGCTAAGAATAAAACTTTTCGTTGACAGATCGGGAAGCGTGCAGTCACGACGAGGCGGAAAATGCTGGTATGCGTGGATTTATATGACAAAGTTCTGGGTGCCAGTGATAGGTGCTAAAGGGCTAAGGGGCTGAGAAAGGGACTGAGAAAGGTACAGAGAAGGATAGGGAAGATACAGAGAATAATAGAGAAGATACAGAGAATAATAGAGAAGATACAGAAAAAGATAGAGGAAATATAGAGAAATATAGAAAAATATAGAAAAATACAGTCTGTCCCTCCCGCTTACCACAATCTGGGAATTTCGCAGGTAATTTGTTAGAAACGCAGAGCCCCTAGAACATTCATCTCTCCAAGGTCCTGTAACCTTAATTTAGGAGATTCCAATAATTCCAGGCCCCTTAAATAAGAGTCATGGATGGGATAGAACTATCCTTCCGCTTATTCTGGATGCGAAGCCCGTTGGAAATGTTGTTCGTAAAACGGCTTTATCATCACGTGATATATACACTTCCTACCAGACTGCAGGCGTTTCAACCTCATTTTGGCCTTTTCCGTGAAATGTAATGATTTTGGCTGATTTTCCCAAATGCCTTGAAAATTCTCAAACATATAGAGAATACAAAGCAAAATCTAGCTGACTGTTTGGATTTCTGAAACACCGACTTTTACCGCTGTAGTTGAGGTTCCTCCATGCCCTGCAACTCCTGCGAGTACCCATACATAGACCAGGTATGTTTCTCCTTACTACTTTGAGCTCAATCGTACACTAACAGAATTTTTCGTATTTGCTTAAACGGAGCAAGGATATGGCAATGTTCACTGTAGTTTGTTCATGGTGGCCTCAGACTGAGCCGTGCACGTGATAAACGTTGGCTATCATCGCTCACGTGAGAGAGTACTGAATTGCTGCAGGATCCCCATCTTCTATACGGGACACTCCAAAAGGCTTGTGTTTCTGGCGTGTAGATCAGCTCAGAGTTTTATTCCACCTTTAGGCATCTAATCTTACTTCCTACATTGCTGATATAGTATTTGTTGCCCTGACTGCCTATGGTGCTACAGACTGAGCTCTCAGTCATGGACACCGCCCATCAGGCCCAATTCCAGAGGCTCTTGGCACTGAGAGGGATCCAGAGACAGCTTCTTCCACAGTTCAAGTTTTTGGAGAGCTCTTACAACGATGTGATGCTGAGAAACAAAAGACCAGAAGCAAACGACAATTCTGACGGGTTGGAGACGCTCTGTCATCCGGTTGTCGATGAGATGATTCTGGTATTATTGAGCCAGGACTCCAAAGGTCCGACCAAGGTTGAGTTGCAAGAGTTTTTTGACAGCGTGAAGAATGTCGCGTATAAGGCGATGCATCGGAACCCAGATATCTCTTTGAATGCGTACCCAGAATTGCTCCACCGGTTAGACAAAAAGTACTGTTGCCGGGACTTTTTTGAGTCAAGGGACACTAATCTTCGGCGGAAGAAGGTTAAGCATAGAAGTTCAGCATGTGATTACTCTAGAAGCGGTTCGGGCTCTTCAGACGACGAAAAGGATGAAGCGTACCCCGATCGTCCTGTACCGGAGCTTTCCGGATACAGCCCCACGGCAGCCCAGGATATGGATGTGCTAAGAACGGTCAGTCATATACTTCTTACCCTGGCGGTAGGATTGGTTCCGCCGTCTACCGGACAAGAATCTATTAGCACAGAAACTCCGTTTCGGGGCCAGATCCGTGCGTCCCGTGAGAGAGAAGTTGCGATTGAGGGAGTCCCTTCGCTTGCCACAGGGACTACCCACGGGCTCAGGGAGCCATTGACTGAGCTCCCTGGAAGAACTCACATTTCTACCCCCACCAGAGTTAGACCACTTAGAAGGATGGCTGGGCTTTCCCCCTTGTCAACAGAAGGCCCAGAGGAAAATGACCCTAGCTCAGCCGAAGACCCGGAGACTACCACCCCCGATAGAAATGACTTTGTGAGACCCCATTATAGCCTTGCGAGTATTATGGAGCGCTCAACGTTTAGTGGACCACCTCCGGTAGCTTCCAGGGCTGTTTCCCAGGTGAACGAGGCTTTTGCGAGCATTTTTGGACAAAGCTATCCGTATGAGTCTGAATCCGGCCTTGAACCCGACTCTGACTCTTCTCTCGGTTCAGAGTTTGGATACCACGATTTAGAGGAAGAAAGCATGGTGTCCGCAAGAGATGAGTACATGGACCAGGACTACCAATTGGATAAGAGGTTCCGCACAAGCATCACTTTACGTTTGACCAGATCGGCTTTTGTAAAACCTGAGCCACAAATACAGCCGTACTTCCCAGACCTTGACTTTTTGTTTTCGTATAAACAGGACAGAAGATCCGAAAGGACAGACCCCGGTGCGGACAGTCACTCGACCAATGCGGTTTCCAGCTGGGATGTCGGTTACAAGACCCCCAAGCCGAAACCGTACTCCCAACTGGACTTTATCCAGGATGCTGGCGATTTCTTGCTCACCAACACGCCGGTTGCGGAAACTTACCCCAACCACATCAAACTCAAGCACCTCGGGTCGTCTCACCTTCTCACCAGTGACCCTAGTTGTCCTCCAGATCCCTACAAGATGAACAAGACGGCCGCAACAGACCCCTCATCGGGTTTCAACTGGTTCATTATGGCCTCAGAAACGCTTATTCACATCCACGAGTACGGCCAAGACGATGTAATCGCAAGGGAGCCGGTCTTTAAGTTCTCCGTAAAGCGCTTGGCTGTCGCAACCACACAACCGGGCTTGACGATCAACCACACCACCGATCTCGACCGCCAGGGTGCTACGCGTCCGTTCGATCCCCACACGGTCAACTACTTGAAGCTCGGCCGGTGGCGAGGAAAGGATCTGCTTGTGGTGGCCAAAGACGACGGGAAGGTGTTGCTCTGGTACTTGGAGACCATCAACCGGGAGATGTTTACCCCCTCCAACCGCGACGGTGTGGTAGTGCCGGACTTTCTCATCATCCTGAAGGCGTCTGTTTGGGGCGTTGACTTGTACGACGAGGAGAACTTGATTGTGGTGAGTGACAACTCCCGGAGAGTGTCTCTCTTCCTCTTCGAGCCCTGCCAGCTCGATACGGGGAACTTCTATTTCGTCCGGTCAGAGCCGTTGACCAGTAACGTCCCTTATGTTTCGTTCGTGAAGAGCAAAGCGCGTCTGAACAAGGTATACGTCACCTGTTGCACGATCGCCGGCGAGGTGATAATCATGGAGTTTGCCTATAAGAAAACAGCTGTTGAGAAGAAGCCCATTTTGGCAGAGTATATGAACTTTATCAGTCTCAGAGACCCGTCTCTCTGCGTGGCGAAGCGGGGTGGGGTGTTGGTCCGGCGAAGCGAGGTGCAAGCGCCGCAGGTTTTGTTTCAGGATCCCTTTATCGTCTCGCGGGCCACTGAGTCTTCCATGTGCTGGTCTGCCAATGTTTTTCAGTGTCTGTGGTTTTTGTCTGTTGCGTCGCTCTGGGAGGTGAACGGCGATTGGAGCGCAGATGAAACAGCTCTCCTCGCAACGATTGACGCTGAGAATGAGATCTTAGGGGATGACTGCAATCCGTGTGTGACGAGTGATTTGGGCCTCGCGGGCCGCTTGTGCCCCACTCAGACGATTCTGCTCTGGGGCAACAAAGTATGCGAGGAGCTATCTGATTCCAAACTCACGGAAAACGTCAGACGAAGCCGCAAGGTTTTTGATGACTTTTATCTCGCCAAGAGACAGCAGACCCTGGAATACCCGGTGCTAAAGGACATGTTTATTGTTGTCACCACAGAGGAGGGTGTGAGCCTCCGTAACGGTGACAATCTCTACACCACCGCCACCTCCGGAGCCACGCCCGTGTTTCCCAGGTCTGTCTTTGCTTCCGTCCTCCGCAGAATTGAAGGCACAAACCGAATTTCGCTTGTAGAGATTGTGCCGGAGTTGTCGTGTGTGGTGATAGCTACCCAGACTGGGTTGGTTTCCATCTTCCGGCTCACCGATTTCCGCGGTATCAAGGGGATGCGTCCGGAACACTTGTTTCCAAATACCGAGAAGTTGTGCAAACGGGAAAATGGATACCGGTCTATTGTGGGGTTGACAGTCAAGAAGATTAACCATTTGCGGTTTGTGTTGTATGTCACGTATACAGACTACTTTGTGTTGGCCTACGAGCTCAAAGGGAGCGCCCTTGGAGAAGTCGAGGCGGGCCTTGTGTACTAAGCTATGGTGAAAGGTTTACTAGGAGGTTACGCGGAGGGGGGAGCAAATCTTATTTAACGGTATAAGCTTAATATTAGGGTTCCCGTAGAACGGGCATCTTTGTGCAATTGTCGCACTGAGGCGGAACTCGACGCTTCTAGCTTTCCATGACGTAGGTGCTGAGCTATCCTGCATACCTGAACCACATAATTTGTGGAGACGCAGAGGCGTTTGAACTGCAAAGCATTGCTTCTTCTCCACGTTATGAAGATAGACCGTTACGGTAGCTTCTCAGAGTTTATAAAACAACACGCACACACGATACCGCTGCAAGGGGAGATTGTAGTTGTGTTTGACAGCGCCAACTACAAGGGGTTGCACCAACTCGATTCTCCGAGCCTCCAGACGCTACACAGGTTGACCTGCAGCGAAGTGGTTTTGGTTGACAATTTCTTTGCCCTACAGGCGTTTCTTGCTGATTACTTACTAAAGGCCCAAGGGGGCCCGTGCCCCCAGTTGGCGGTGGTGGGGATGCTTGAGTTGTTCTGTGCGTTTGGTGACGCCATTTGTGAGGACACGCCCGAAGAGGTTGTGCTTCCAGGGATGTTTCGATTTCGAAAGCAGCACTTTAACGCAAAGTCTCTTTTGTTTCTTTTGACCAAACTAAACACGGTGCCAGGTGTGAGGGTGGTGGAGTGTGGGGTAGAGTCAGAGATGTGCAGTGTGATGCTACCGCTACTTCCATTCAAGGATGGTGCTTGGGCTTTGCAAAACGCTGGGGTGACAAAGGGTATTACCTTGGGGGAGGTAACGGCTCGCTGTTTTGGACAGTAAATGACCAAGGGAGATGGACAGACTTGGGGTGTACCGGGGTGAATGATATCTGATAGGATTGTGAGTTCATTGATGGCTTATGAGCAAGAAATTGACTAAACATCTGGGCTTTGTTATGACGTGTCGAATGCTGACTAAAGAATCGAGTAGAATTCTAGGTTAAAGAGTTCATGATAAGTGACGGCAAACTTCGTTTGGTCTGGACCTTTTAGCGGAAGGTGTAAAATTTTCAAAATTTGGCCCTCCGACACAGTATTGGAGATTTTGTTGGGAGGTATGAGGACAAGCAGGCGATATTATTTATCCAATAAAGCGTGATATTCACGGGATTTCTTAATGTGGCCATACAACAGCTAAATCTTGGAGGCTAAAGATTGTATATATTTCCACTGCGGGTTCTCAATCACTTCAGCGCTTGAATCTTATTTTAATGAATGTGCTATGGTCCAGGTCGCTCTCTACCGCTCTTTTATAAATCTCTTGCTTCACTTGAAGTCCATGTATCGCTCAACTTGGCTAGGTAAAACCATATTAGAGAACCTGCATTAGCCTCAAGTATATCACATGCTCCATCCCCTCTCTGACATTTTGCATAGGTTGTATTTTGCTGTTACGCGCCCTTCCCGAGAATCCTATATAAAACACAGATTCGCTTATACAGCTTAGTTTTCTTATCAACTCGCTTTATTATTATTATTATTATTATTATTATTATTATTATTATTATTATTATTATTATTATTATTATTATTATTATTATTATTTCCAGTTCAATTACTAGGGAATATTGTTTCATCTCGACCAAAAGTCTCTACACATACCGTCTGTCTAATGAGCTACACCTCACTTCTCACCTTCACTGAAAAAAAAAGAGTCGATTATCCATTTCAAATTTATCACCATGACCTGGCTGATTTCTAAGCTCAAGGATTTTGAGCACCAGGATTTTGAGCACCAGGATTTTGGCACCGGGATTTATTGAAACACTTGTACAACCCTCGCTATATATTTTGGCGCTTTGCCGATACGCACAAAGATCTGTTTGCATAAGCATGGGTTACACTTGGTTTTTCTCGCGGTCGTGCACATGCCATCCGGGTAACCCTCCAGATCGGGTGAAAAATTCACATTGATCAAAATGCACCCACCATCTCACCCTATCCAACAACCTCCGCCTCTATCGTCATGTTATCCAGAGCCACCGTGAAGAGCGTGGGAACCCACGTGCGGTTCCTTTCCGCGGATAGCTTGCGTGTGACCAAGGTCCAGGCGGCCATGAACAAACAGCACACCGAGTTCCCTACTATCGCGACCGACTACTTCTTGAAGCAGGATCCACTCCCGCTTTCGCCAGCCGACGCGAAGATCAAGGCGGCCAAGAAGGATGAATTGTACCAGGAAGCGGCCAAGTTGTACTCGTACTTCTCACAGCAGGCGTTGGAGAAGCAGACGCAGAACGAGAGAGAAAAGGTCAGAAAGGCCACCGTCAGCTTGAACAAGGAGCAGAAGAAACAGTTCAAGAACCAGGCGTACGAGTTCCCCAACCTCGTAGCGACCCCAGCTAGTGAGGAATTCTCCCCCCAGGAGTTGTACCTCAGAAACTTGTACTTCAAGCGCAACTCTGCGAATTTGGGCGCCGAATTGGAAAATGTCTACAACCCGAATGACGATGCCTACAGGGCCAAAAGCCTCCAGGAGACGTCTATAGCCTCTTTAATGGCGGCCGGTGCCCACTTGGGCCACGTTGCATCCTTGTGGTCCGTGCACACCCAGCCGTTCATCTACGGCCGCCACAAAGACTTGATGATCATTGATCTCAACCAGACCTTGACCTATTTGAAGCGTGCCTGTAAAGTTGTGGAGGGTATTGCCGAGAAGGGTGGTGTGATTGTGTACGTTGGGACGCGTGACGGGCAGAAGAAGTCGCTTGAATTGGCGGCCAAGAGGTCCAACGGCTACTACGTTGCCAAGAGATGGATCCCGGGTACCATCACCAACTGTATCGAGATTTCCGGCAGATGGGAGCGCTGCGAGGTGGATATGGCCGATAAGCCGACCGCCAGATCATTGGACGAGGTGGAAAAGTCGCGCTTGATCAAGCCGGACTTGGTAATTGTGTTGAACCCGGAGGAGAACATGCCGTGTTTGACTGAGACCTTGTTGAGCAAGGTGCCATCGATCTGTGTGATTGATACGGACATGGACCCGCGTATGTGTACGTACCCTATCCCAGCCAACGACGACTCCGTCAGATGCACGGACTTGATCGTGGGGGTCTTGTCCAGAGCCGCGCAGAACGGTGTGCAGAAGAGATTGGCGGCCGTGACGGAGTATAAGGAGGGGTTGGAAGCGGCTGCGAACTAGCCAGCGAGCATGCGAGGAGGCAGGAGCTTGCGAGCTCTTGGGGTGGTACGGTGTCTGCCGATAGATGCCGGCTGCCCACACATTCACGACACATAGACTCTCGCGTCGCATTGTACATACCGTAATATAGAGAGGACATTAGATGGAATGTAGAGCGAGAAGAAAATAGCAAAACGTAACGTTAAAATTTAATTCATATATATTGAGATTGAACTTACAGATACAATCATATATAGATCTATTGACGCATGTCCACTTTCAGCAATGGAGATTATGTTCAGGGGGAGTGAACAAGAACTATATATAGTATCTATCTACTCTAATAAAGACTAACTCCACAGGTAATATCCTTGATTTGTAACACCTAGGGTAAGTATACGGCGCATTAGTGAACAACTCCTTATTGTGATCTCCCCATGATCAGGCACGTGCAGCAATAGCCATCCCTTCATTTCTAACGCTTCTTCCGATATAGTGTAACGGCTAGCACGGTTCGCTTTCACCGAGCAAACCCGGGTTCGACTCCCGGTATCGGAGGCTTCTTTCTCTTTCTTTTTTTCCAGTCATATAAATGAGTCAAGTGGAAGTTTACAGCTCAATGGTATGTTTAAATTGCCCAGATGGTTTGTAGTTTAGCAATTCGGGGAGAGTAGTTGGAAAATGATCTCTTAAAGCCTAGCTCCACAAGTGTAAAACTAGAGAATATTAAGGCTAACGCCTAAACTTGGTTTAATGTAGTTTAAGGTATACTAACCCATTTAAATGTTGATAAAGGAAAAAAAAAGGTCAAACCCGGTTAATCAAGTTCTGGATCTTTGAAACCTCAGTCTACCGCTCTTCCAACTGAACACAACCACTAAGATAAATCGACTTTCCTCTAGTTAAGTCTGTGCCGCTCCCTGCTGTACTGAAAAATAACCTTGATTATTGATTTAGTGCAACCATGAAACACAACAATGTTTGTCGTATACCCGTGAATGAAACCTGCAGGATTAAATAACCTTTAATACAATAATCGATAAGAGCCTGGAGAGTCGACACTTGCGTGCCATGCTAATAATAACATGTAGGGCTTCAACAGGTTTTAGCTGCTTACTTAGCGGAGCTATCGGACGCAGATAGCTTATTCAGATCGACTCTTTCCTTTTATGAATATATTACTAGTGGTCTTCCATGAATGGAGGGCCCGTAGCCCCACTCTTTGAAGGCTTTGACATAGGAAATGGTAATTACTCCTGCAGCATCCCCTCTCCGCAAATTAGAGACTCCTTAGGCCATGTTCACATGTGGTTCTACGTCTACTATATTGGTGTTTGGGTCAGCCAAAGCTGACACCGTTAAAGTCACATATAGGCTATCCATTGTTCGTATCTCGTCTCTTTCGGTTCCTTGCATGTGTCAAAGTTTATGCAGGGTTTGACAAACCGTACGGACTAAACGGTGCCGCGAAATATAATGCATGTAATGTTGGGATACGATGCCAAGGGTACATATTTTCTCAGGGTTGATTGATATGTGTATACAAACTACAGTCCCCAGAGGGATTTTCTGCGCACTATGAACTTCGAAGCGCTTTCTAAAACAGATATCTTCCCTCTCTGCACCAACACTAGGGTACACGTAGATGACCATAATTACCACTAACGCACGGGCCGCCTAAGCCCATGTATGCTTTTAGGGAGTCGAGAACTCCATCCCAATTAGGAATCTGGCAACTTAAAACATACCTTGAAGCAAGCTACACCCCTGTCAATAGCCGAGCTAAGTTTTATAAATTTTGTACGAGAAACTGGGTAAAGCAACCAAGGGAACCATTAGCGGTATCAGCGCTAGCTGTTTTACAACTATTGTCTTTAGCTTATAAAGATAAAAAGGCTCATATGCATGATCGATGTTTACATAGCTTTGATGGATGATATTGCACAAAATGATGGGTAAACCCACAAAAATTGTTCACCTACCCTACCGCAGAATACGTTGGTCTTACACTCGCTAGACTCTGACGCTTCAAAAATTCCAAATAGAGTATAAAATGTGCTACCCTTCTCAAAAATGATTCCTAGAAATAGAAAAGTACCAGAGGAATGGAAACCTATCCTCATAATGAAATTAGCTTTAGCCAATTTGGGATTTACTCTTCAATTTTTGGCGTTGGTGTTGTCTGTCTACGACCTGGGTCCCCAAGTTCAATTTCCTGACGGCGACACCATCACCGGTAACTAAGAATTCCTTAGTAACCTTGAATCCTACTTGGGTATTCCGTTTGCGGCTCCGCCGGTCGGGCTCTTAAAATTCAAGCCGCCCCAGACGTACACCGGGAGCTTGAACGGCTTACAGACCACTGCATACGGTCCGTCATATCCCCAAATGAACATAGGGTCGGGAATCCTCGGTGTCTTACCACAAGACGTTTTGAGCTTGGTGATGCAAACCCCGTTGTTCAATGCAATCATCCCCAATCCGAGGATTGCTTGACTCTCAATGTGTACAGAAAGAGGGGTATCTCTTCTACCGCCAAGTTGCCGGTAATGTTCTGGATTTTTAGTGGCGGGTTCGAATTCAGCGGTACCTTGGTGATCAAGAAGATGAAGGAACTATTTTTTCCCTCACCACCTTGAACGTGACTACCGAAGCTGAAGTGAGATCGTATGTTAGTAATGTGTTTCCTGGGATGTCTTCCTCCTTGTCGGATCAGTTCTTGAATATGTTGTCGCCTCAGAATAAGAGAGTTGTGTCTTTATTTGGTGACGTGGTTTTCCAGGCTCCGAGAAGATTTATGTTAAACCACACACCGGATGTTTCCAGATACACGTTTCTCTCCCAGCAGTTAAAGGGTCTCCCTATTGTCGGCACTTTCCACGCCAATGACATCACCTGGCAATATTTAGCCTCTGGTTCTGGGTCTTTGGTTTACCGTAATGCGTTTATTGCGTTTGGCAACAATATAATGTATATTAATGCCGTGGGCCTTTTCACCGGAAAGGATAACTCCAGACTGGCGCAAATGAGCTTCCTCAACAACAATTACCAAGATATTTTTGTCTTAGTATGAATTGAATCTTATCTGATCAATACTATTGAGGTCTTGGTTCAACATGGGATGTTGAGTATCTTTTAGCCAATATCGGTCAAGATATTTATCAATAAATATAGCTGAGAGGCTATTTATGAATAATCAGCGATAAGCGTAACGAGCCGGTACGTGGCAAGGCCGAGGGTCAGAGTCAATCCGGGATTCAGAGTCCGGTCGATCGTCTGGGTACTCAGTGCAGCAGAAGGCCGATAAGGATTTCGGGATTTTCGAGAAATCGGGATCGGGACTATTTTTAGAATTGGTAATATGCAGGTTAGGAAATGCGAGACGAGGGTTTCAGAATGTTAGGCTGAATATCAGGATATTATCAGGATAACACTATGGAGCATACCGGGATAGTACCAGGGTACATATCGGGATAGTACCAGGATGCATACCAGGATGCATACCAGGATGCATAACAGGATAATACAAGGATGCATAACAGGATAATACAAGGATGCATACCAGGACTAGCTTTCGGGCACTATTTTCGGGATTCCAATTGAGTGCGAAATTTGCGTATACATTCAGGGAATCGATTCATACCCAAACTTGTAAAGTAGAAAAGCCTGCATAATAGCTTATATGTAATTTCTCTGACTGAACTTATCTATACATATAGAGACTTACAATTGCAGGCAACAAATCCATTACCCAACACAACCTTTCGATTTTATATATTGGCCGGGAAGTCCTTCTAAGCAAACGCGTCTTGTTTCTAGGCGTCTTGGATTAGCACATGAAAAAGACTGAAAACTTTTGCGTACAATGTCCACGCGCTTAGCAAAAACTCCAGAAAGAAATATTTTGACAAATTATGCCTAGTAGCCTTTATTCTAGAGGTTTAGCGCTATTTTTGCACCCTCAAAAACCGGTACGGGCACTTTTGGTCATTATTTGCAGATAAGGTGCGGTGGCTCAATGGTAGAGCTTTCGATTTCTGTCCGTGTCATCTCTATATTTTCATTGGCCCTGGGGCATCCTTCATCCCACGTTGGCTGAATCGGAATCTCTGGGACTTGAATGGAAGTCTGTAGGCCTTCGTGCAGGGTCTTTTCTCTGTGAATTTTAGCACGAAATACATGGAACGACTCCTCTAACGTACTAGGTCTTTGCGACGTCTTTCCCAGCCTAAAATTTACCTAAAAGCCTGCTTGAAACAGAACGCTACCCAGGTCTCAGAAAATAATACAAATATGATTTGAGTGCTTTACGTTTTCATAACCAGTCGTGCAACAGCCGCCTGATACCTAAGCACATGTAGCAAGAGTGAAATCAGATTGTTGGAGCTTGCTGCAAATACACACTAATTTCTAGACTAAATCGAGAGTATAGCGAAACAAACACCCAACAATAGATTTATAATCAAGGCTCAAAAAAACACGAGCTATAAGTTCACTCTGGCTACCCTAGGTACGCCTTTCCTGCATCAACACCTATTGTATGTCTTTACGGTCCCAGATTTCTGTCTTTTATCTACTCTGTAAACCCCCGAATGGCGCTTTATAGCATGAGCCATTTCCCCTGCTTCAAAGGATGGGAGAAGGATTTCTGCCTTCTGATGGCTACCAAAGATCTCATTGCCCTTCATGCACAGGGCCAAGCACCCACCATTCACCCCCTGGCGTACCACCTGAGCCCTCACATACAATGAAATTCCACAGTAAACCCATATAACCGCTTGCCTAAGGCCATGGGACAGGGATATAAGCCGTACGACCTTAGCTTACGCCTACAACATTGTATGACTGACCTGAAAGTCAGACTGTGAATTACACCGTTATGCAAGGACGCTACATGGCTGAATAATGATGGAATACACAACCCTCTAACACCCTCTCAGCACCAGTTATCCACAAACATTTGAGCCATCTTCACCCCTCCCCCCGAACGTATGTAGGTACAAGTGGTTTGCATGCATGCTGCGGTTCTCATTCCGTGCGAATTAGCAAGCACCATGTGCGCGTTCATTCGCGCGCGAATCCAGCACATGGTCTGTATCCCACCCCCATGACGCCTATATTTCCAGTTTTTCCCGACAACAAACGGCTAAAAGATAAACGATCAATCAGTCATTGATTTCAACCCACAAACATAAACACAAAATGTCCAATTTTGACAGCGAATTGACGCCGCCAACGTTGTCGTCGGCGTTCCGCGCTGAAAGACTGACAAATAGCCCCAGTAACTCGCACAAAAGCTCGTTTGCCGAGACTCGCAACTTTTTTTTGCAACAGGAGAAGGATACAAACTCGCCGTCGCCGCGGGTTCCGCGAGCCAGTGAGCCGCTCGCGTCGCCCGTGCCGTCACCGGGTAGTGTTGCGGGCGAGAACGTCGGGCAGCTTGAGCTTCTCCCAACCACCCACGCCGTCGGCACGATCTACTACTCAGAGAGCGAAACGACTGAGTCTGAGTCTGAGTCCGAGACAGAGACGGAGACGGAGACGGATAGCGACGAATACTCGCTTGATTCGCCGCATGCGGACCCCCCCGTGAATACAGATATGAGCCCCGCGAGCTTCCGCGAGCGCCTCGAACAGGTTCGGGCGATGCGTAGCCCCCTGCTGACTCTGACCGGGAGCTCGCCGATAAAGGTGCCGAAAAAGAAGAAGAAAAAGAAGCTGGCGAAGCTGGCGAGCGGGCTCGACGGGACCATGAACGATCTTTCAGTAAAGCCTGTGCCGTCGCCAAACCGAAACCCTGTACCAGCTCCACACTCGCAGACTATGGTTGACGCCGAGCCTGTCCAAGTTGCTTCTTTCTCTGGTTACCCAGAGCTCATTCGCGCAGTCTCTGGGCAGTCGGAATCCATTCGTGCGGTCTCTAAGCATTCGGAACCCATTCGTGCGGTCTCTGGGTATTATGATGCCACAACTGGCCTTTCTGATCCCTCTTTGCCTGATACTATTCAAGCTTCAGAGTCGCTCCCTGCTACCGAACCCAGTCATACAAATCACTCAGAGTCCCACACCTCAGATCCCAACCAGAGCTACTCGTCTTCCATGTACGACCGGAGCGGCCACTTGCCTGAGACGGTGGCGGTGAAACCAGAGACTCAATCGGGTACCAATTTTTCAGATTCCGTACTGGGCCATTTGGCCAAGGATTCATCTGTGGATACTCAACCCGGTCATTCGTCGCTCGCGCCGCCCACCATCACCGGCTTGCCGTTTGCTCGGACGTTTGAGGAATCTACCGAAGCGAAGCTAGCTGAAGCACAATTGGCCGAAGACAAGGCGAACGAGTCCAAAGCAAGGTTAGCTGAGGAATCCAAAGCAAGGCTAGCTGAGGAATCTAAAGCAAGGCTAGCCGAAGAATCTAAAGCAAAGTTAGCCGAAGAATCTAAAGCAAAGTTAGCCGAAGAATCTAAAGCAAAGTTAGCCGAAGAATCTAAAGCAAAGTTAGCCGAAGAAGCGGAAGAAAAAAGACTCTATTTAATGCTCGAACAACAACGACTCCACAAACTTGAGGCCGAACGAATTGCGAGGTATGAAGCTGAACGAGAGAAAGAGCTGCAGAGACTTGAAGAGAGACAAGAAACAGCTGAAGCTGAACGAGAGGAGGAACAACCGGGACTTGAAGAAGAATCTAACCAGGAAACAACCGAAGTAAGACAGAGTGAGTCACAACCCACAGAGAGATTCCTATTCTCAGAGAAACCCCATGGACCAGCCGAGGAGAGAGAAGGCCTTCAAGCAGAAGAGCCGTTCCGCTTTCAGCAGCCGCAGCTCCAGCCTTCTGTGGAATCCGTCACTGATCAGCAGCTTCGTCGCTTGACTCAAGATGAACAACGCCTCCTCGACAAAGACATTCCTGAGCGAATTATTCCCTTTACTTCAACATTCAAGGTCCGTTCCATCTCCGGAAAGTCGCTCGAGACGCCGGTCAGAGACCTCTATGAGAAACTGTCGAATATATTAGCTCCTGTAAGGCCTCTGATGGCCTATAGATCCCCAAGCAGCTCCATTGGCTCTGGAAATGCAGCCAGTGAAACAGCCGGCACGCCTTTTGGAACCCCAACTGCCCATTCAACTTTCATCGGCACCCCAGTTGCCAATCCAGCATTGATTGCCACTCCAAAGGCTTCTACTATTGACACAAAGGCTCCTACTTCTATAGGCGCTCCTGTTGATATCACTCCTGTTGCTATCACTCCTATTGGCACTCCTAGAGCTCTTACTACCCCAAAAACTCCAGTGACTGGTACGGTTGCGCTCGGCACGCCTGCGGTGATTGACACCCCCAAACTTGCTGATCTGTTCGCCGTCACGGCGACAATGCCGACTGGGGGTCCTGTGGAGGAGAGCCTGAATCCCTCCAGTCTGTTGGTTGCCAGCTTCGTCGAGTCGTCCAACAGCCGCAGGCCGTCGGTTGCCAGTGCTTCTACCAAGAGTCTTGGTCCGAGCCGGCTGTCATCGGCGAGCTACGGCGCTCTCGAGGCCCAGATGGGCCATCCGTACAAAATTCGTGCAGCAAGCCCAGTAGCCCATGAGACACACCGCAACGCAAGTGGCGACCAGTCGGATGTCCGTGACGTGACCCATACAGCTCCTCGCAATGATCCAGCCAATGCTTTTAGCACGCCCTTTGAGAATCGCCGTAGCGATTTTCTCGATTCGGCACCGCTCTCCGACAATAGTAGCGAGGAGGCCGAGGTGCTGCAGGCGTCTGTCGCCAGCCCGTCGCGTGCCACCAAGGTTGATACGTATCTGTTCCGTGACGTCAGTAACGGCACCGTTATCCACCTGCGCGCGCGCAACAGTGAGCAGCTCGCCATTCCATTCAGCAGCGTGCGCACGCAGTCGTATGAGGACTCGCGCGACAGCGTGTTCTCGGTGCAGACACCACAGATGCCGCAGACGCCCCAGAAGTCTCAGGGTGCTTCGCCGCGAACCCCGACGCGCGCTGCGGCATCTAGCATCGGTTCGGTTCCGGGGGTCGCCCCAGCCTCTGGCTTTGCCCCGTCCGCTAGCCTTGGCTCTGCCTCAGGCCTTACTCCGGTCTCACCTGCAGCCCCACCCCTCTCGCCCAAATCCAAATCCCTCTGGCGGCGCAAGTCCGGTGGCCGCGTCCGCGGAGTGCTTTCCTCCCTCGTTGGCTCCATGCGTGGCACCAGTGAGACTCCTCTTGAGCGTACCCCGTCTGTCAAGATCTCCACGCCGTTCAACGCGAAACACGTCGCGCACGTCGGCTTCGACAGCCAAACCGGCGAGTTTACCGGGCTCCCAGCCGAATGGAACCGGCTCTTGAGCGCGTCCGGGATTTCGCGCCAGGAGCAGGAGCAGAACCCACAGGCCGTCATGGACGTGGTCGCCTTCTACCAGGACAGCACCACGGGCGAGGATGCGGCGTTCCGCAAGTTCGCGCACGGTGGCAAGCTCAATCTGAGCTACTCGCTCAGCCTGCAGATCCTGTCGCCCGTAGCCGCGACGCCGCCACTCCCGCCGTCGCCAGTGGCGCACTCACACCAGACGGATGGCGCGTTTATCCCGACACGTCGTGCGCCCAAGCCGCCGTCGGCGCCGAGTACGCCCGTCGCAGGCACGTTCCGGTCGAACTCGGTGCGTGCGCCCGTGCGGGTGCCAGCGCCGTTGCCGCGGTCGCAGTCGCAGGGCCAGCTTCCAAAGTCTACACGGGCGCCGCCCGTACCGCCGGCAAGAAAACCGCAGGTGGAGCAAATCCCAGAGGCCGCGCCGGAACCAAGAACGTCGGACGCACTGGCCGCGCTGGACGCGCCGGAGCCAAAGCCGATGCGCGACCCGCGTGCAGTCGCACTCGCGAGCGCGAAGAAGCGTGAGGAGAAGCGCGCGCGCGCGCAGCAGGTGTATGCAAAGCTTGCGCAGATCTGCACGCCTGGAGATCCCCGGAAAGTCTACCACGGCCTCGTGAAAATCGGCCAGGGCGCCTCCGGCGGGGTCTACACGGCCTACGAACGCGGCACCAACAACTGTGTCGCGATCAAACAAATGAACCTCGAAGAACAGCCAAAAAAAGAGCTCATTATCAACGAAATCTTGGTTATGAAGGCGTCGCACCAGGAGAACATTGTCAACTTTATCGACTCCTACCTTATCCGCGACGAGCTCTGGGTTGTCATGGAATACATGGAGGGTGGGTCGCTCACCGACGTTTTGGTGCACTCCGCGATGACTGAGGGGCAGATTGGGGCTGTATGCCGCGAAACGCTTAGGGGCTTGAAGTTTTTGCACTCTCAGGGGGTGATTCATCGTGATATCAAGTCTGACAACGTGTTGCTCGCGATGGACGGGAACATTAAACTCACGGATTTCGGATTTTGCGCGCAGATTAATGAGGTGAATTTGAGGCGGAACACCATGGTCGGGACGCCGTACTGGATGGCGCCGGAGATTGTCACGCGGAAGAGTTATGGGCCGAAGGTGGACATCTGGTCGCTTGGGATCATGGCGATTGAGATGATTGAATGCGAGCCGCCATATATGAACGAAACGCCGTTGCGGGCGCTCTACTTGATCGCGACGAACGGGACGCCAGAGCTCAAGGAGCCGGAGTTGTTGTCGATGGACTTGAAGCGGTTTTTGAGCCGGTGTTTGCAGGTGAACACGGAGAATAGGGGCGATGCCGAGGAGTTGCTTGGGAATTACTTTATCCAGGAGGCAGACGAGGTGGCATCGTTGGCGCCGTTGGTGGCGATTGCCCGGATGAAGAAGGAGAGGGAGAGGGAGGAGGAGGAGAGTGAATAGCCGAGCGAGCAAAGAACCTGTACGATTTAATAGGCGTTTAATGTATTATATTGCGATAGGCTTGGGAGGGGAATGATATAGGTGCACTGAGCCGTCAATGCGAGGTGAGGCTCAAACAGTGATCATATGGTAGCAAACCATAGGTAATGAACTGGTGCATTGGAGGCTTTTAAGCAGAATACGGGCCATAGGTAGTGCCTTTTCAGATTGCCACTAGTGGTACCAAGAAATATCCTATATTGACCACTGCTATCGTCTGGAAAAATGGCAGCCTCGCCTACAAGGCTGTTTAAAACAAGCTATTAATAAACTAACATAATGACCCTAAGCATCCAAGTGTCTTACAAGCTCTTGGCCGACTTGAATGGAATAAGCTCGGCGCTGTTAAAGTGGTCTTCGTCCACCTCACGGATATCACCAGCTTCCTTGGTATACTCCAACGCGTTAAGCTCGTCTTCTCTAGCGTTGTAGTGGTGGTAGCAAAGCCAGAAGCAGCAGCCGGCAATGAAGCAGGAGGTGGCCAAGCCGGTGTAAGTCCAGACCAACTTAGGGTGTTCTGCGGTAGGTGACAAGGCAATCCCCAAGGCAGAGCCGAAGGCGTTGGTGACCAAAAACATGGACATGATGAAGGACTTCATGCTGACTGGGGCCTTGGTGTAGGCGTACTCCAAACCAGTGATGGAAGCAAAGATTTCCGAAAGAGCGATCAAGACGTAGGCTGGAACCTGGGTGGCAATGTGGACGTGGTTTGGGATCTTACCATCAGAGGCAGCGCACTTCATTGGGTTGTCGTAACACGGACCGGCCTGGTAGATATAGTGCTGCAAGACGGCGGCGTAGACCATGGAACTAGAGGCAAAGAAAAACCCAAAGGTGATTCTGGTGATGGCCCTGAATGGAGTGTAGCGTCTGATAAACGGATAGATAAATCTCTCCATGATTGGGATGAACAAAATAATGGTGATGGAGTTAATGGCCTGCAAGATGTCGTTCGGCAACCCGTGCAACTCCATGGTACCGGCCTGGGAAACAAAGTTGTTCACCATCTGGCCGTACACCACCCAATAGATTGGGTAGAAACAAAACACCTTACAGGCAACTATGGCTCTCTTGACCTCGTCGACAAAGTGGTCGTTCCAGTGATAGCCCTTGTCTGGACTGTTGCTTGGCTTGGCGGTGTCGAAGCTGAACTTGTTTCTGACACCAATCCAGATGATGTGGAAACTGTCAGCGATAACGGTGCTGGAGGGCGGGGTCTTGACGTATTGGTTTTTCCCAAGCGCCAAAACCACAACGCCAATGACGAAGAAGCACAACGGCAAGAGGTACGCGGCCCAGAAACCCTTGTGCATCTCCAACTGGGTGGTGGCAATAACGGAAAGGGAGCCGATGTTGATCATCAAGTAGAAGAACATGAATACGTTCTGGGTGGTCACAGCGGGGTCCAAGATGACGCGTTCGCCGGTCTTGGGCAAGATGTGGATTCTCGGCTTGGTCTTTGGAATCTGGTCGGCAATCAACGGAGAGACGTTGGACTTGACACCACCGGTGCCGATACCGATGATGACGATCGCTGTTGCGTAGCCGCCGAGAGCGATCGATGGGCTGGTAATGGATGGAATGGAGGTGATGAACAAGATGAAAATCCCCACAAAGTAGATAAGACAGAACACAAAGATGGACTTGTACTTACCCCAGTAGGTGTCAGAAACCCAGGCACCGAAGATCGGGGTGAGGTAGCACCAGAATTGGAAGAAGTAGGACAAGGCGGTGGCACCCTGGTTCCCCAAGTTCAAGATACCAGCTGGGACGTCATCTGGACCGTTTTGCATGTAGTTCTGGAACGGGCCCGACAACCCGTAGTAGGCAAAACGTTCGCACAACTCCACAACGGCAACTAGCCAGCAAGACAACGGAATCGTTTCCGAAACGTGGCGCAAGGCTTTCATTTCCTCACCGGTAGGGTATCTGCCTTCGTCGCCTTCTACCTCTGTGGAGGCATCGTTGCTGATATAGGTCATGGCAAGTTCGTTTTCATGAACCGCCTTTTCGGCAGTATCAGTTTTCTCCATGGTTGTATTTGAGTTCAAGTGTCTGAGAACAGCATAGGGGGCTTTGATACGGGAAGTCTCTACCATATATACCACCATCTACAAGCCCGAACACCAGCTGATATCTGCGCTGCGGGGGAAGAAAAAAAAAAAACAGTCCTTATCTGCTGAGCGTGACGACACAAAGCAACCTTCTGACTGCCAAGAGACTTGGCTGATTAGAGTTACCACAGTCTGCCGTCAGGGACCTGATATTTCCCAGAGAATGCTGTGCCGCTGGCAAATGTACGAATGTTACCAAGAGGTCTGGTTATCTTGGATCACGCTCCAGTCTCGTGCCTTCGATTTGGGGACCTAAAACACATGTCCGCAAACCGGTGGAGCAGACTCACAGCTTGCATAAAAGAGGCGCCAGAACATATCCCGTTGCATAGACTGGGCACCCAGAGACTTCCATATTATAACATGGCCCAAGTGGTACATGTTTTGCCCGCATAAACTTTTACGAGCTGCGGTCCAACAGCACCACGGCGATATTCCCCAGCCAAGAAATGCCGTGTGCTGGCGTGGCACGTTTTCCTGTCACTAAAGGCTGGGCGGCGGATTATCCATGTGATGTGAATGAGTTAGCCCGAAAGTCTTGGCTAATAGTCTATGGTTTCCAGTCGTACGAATGTAAGCGCCAGTACTACCGAGAGCCGGGAGGAGATTGCCATTACAATGATAGCGCATCGCAGAGGAGTCGGAGACAACAGACCCAAGATTCGTGTGAAGAGCTTTAATCTATCAAGGATACTTTAATAATGCGGGTTCATTTTTGATGCAGATTCATTTGCCAAGACGCGGCAGGGACTCGGCGGAAATTGCACTTGAAAAATCACGTGCCTGGTGCGTAGTCCCTGAGATTCGGCGGAGCGTGAGCCGGCTATTTAAGAGCATACAGAACGCCGAGCAGCAAGGATGCGGTAATAGCCGAGATTGGTCCGCGGAAGCTAGAAATATTAGAGAGTGGGGTACCCCAGGATTGAACGATAACGTTAGAATTAGGTGAAAAAAAGGGATGATGCCGGGCTGTAGAATGCGTATTGCGGCTTCCCGGGCATATTCTAGAGCTTGCGATAGATGTCCATTGGATTTTATCCATAGGATATTTCTATGCCAGTCAGAGAGTTTTCTACGGCACCACGTGCTTTATCATTAGTTTATTTTACGATAACACCCTAGTCTAAGTTGCAGCTACCTAAAGTTTGACCAATTACCGGGATTCATCATTTCCGGTATATCCTCAAGAATGATTAGAGCGTTACAGTTTTTATCCCAACTCCATTTGGTTACACGAACATTATGCTCAAAGAGCTAATAGACATCAAAATATGGTCTATTTATGGAACACAGTAGGGTGGGATAAGTCTTCCTATGCTGAGCTTTAAAAAGTGGTTTGTCTTCTGAAGCAGTGATTTCGGAGGCCAGTGTATGAGTCGGGAGTTTGTTGCATTGGCTTCTGCCAAGAACCTGGGACAATAGTTGAAGTGGCGCGTTCCGTCAAATCTACCGGTCCATACCTTGGTAAAAGAGGTTTGATTATTATTCAAGCATCGTAAGCCTCTAAAAGGAAGCTATCAGTGATCAGATTGAGGTACTGTAAAGTTTTGCGATTGTACAGACTGCTAGTTGATCTTGTAATGGAAAAAAACAAAAAAACAAAAAAAACAAAAAAACAGGAGAGAAAACCCAAATTATCCAACAAAACACTAAGCTAGCAAAAAAAAAGCCAACTATCAAATCTAACCTTACTTAATGTGTGGTGTCTATCAACAGAAAGAGTTAGTCTCAAACATAAACTCATACCCAATACACCAAAGGATTTTCACTGCGCATCGCCCCATGCGCCGCACGCAAATCTAACCGTTGTGTCAGGACCAGCGCTCGTGTCATATCAAAACGCGCCAGCCACTCTGTAGTCTCTCGTAACCTACCCTTTACGATGTCTACCATGGATACTACTTCCAAATCACCGTCAACCGAGTCCCCTCGGATCAAACTTCTCACCTTCAATACGTGGGGCTTGAAATATGTGTCCAAGCTCCGGGGACCGCGGCTCCGCGCCATTGCGGAGCGCCTTGCCGGTCAGAGCCCCGAGGATGACTACGACATTGTGGCACTACAGGAGGTATGGGTAGAGCAGGACTGGGACTATATTCAGGCCAAGTGCCAACAGAAGTATCCGTTCTCGCGGTTCTTCAAATCGGGGATTCTAGCGGGGCCTGGGTTGTGCATCTTGTCCAAACACCCCATTAAAGAGACGTTTCTCTATCGGTTTCCCATCAACGGTCGGCCCTCTGCCTTCTGGCGTGGCGACTGGTACGTTGGAAAGAGTATTGCCGTGACAATTGTACAGGTGGGCGACCGCGAGTTGGCGGTACTCAACTCGCACATGCACGCCCCGTACAGCCACAACTCGCTCAGCGACGCGAATTATCTCTGCCATCGAGCGTGCCAGGCGTGGGACTTTTCGAAGTTCATCAAATTCTTACGTTCCAAAGACCGCGGAATCATTGTAGTGGGTGATCTCAACTCCAGACCCAACTCGTTGCCCCACAAGTTGCTCGTGAAAAATACCAACCTCCAAGACTCGTGGTTGCAGTACAAGGGGATCGAGGAGGATGCGGAGGTTGGCAATATGTCGCCAGAAGAGCAGATTTCACAGCTTGGCATCACGTGCGATTCTCAGCTCAACACCTGGAGGGCCACCAGGCAGCTTGACGAGGCTTGTCGCTTGGACTACGTGTTGACGAGCGAGAACTTGGCCACGGTGGATGCATCCGTGCGGTTCACAGAGTTGATTCCGCTGCTAAAGGTGTCGTATCTGGACCATTTTGCCTACTCCATCGTGTGTGAGTTTGCCGAGCCTGTGGCTTCAGCCCCGCAGATGCTCGCTCAACTCGACACGTACACGGAGTTTTTGGAGGTTTTGACCAAGTACCAAGCCGCCACGCTTCCGTTCCAGCGCAACTGGCGGCTTCTCCACATGGTGTCGTCGTTGATGATTGTGGTTGGTATTCTCGTTGGGATTACGTTCATTGCCATCATTGCGCCGTGGTCGGTAATTTTCTTCATCTTGCTTGTGATCGTGCTAGTTCTCACGGGTTTTGTCAACGGGATTCTCTTTGGTGGGCTTTTCACCCGAAGCGAGAACCGTGCGTTGGAGGAGGTTAAGATGGAGGTGCAAGACGAGGCGCGGTACGTGCGGTATGTATTGGGTGCGGAGTAAATGTACCGGGAGAGGGCTCAAATCCCGCCAGGCAAATTTCGATGCAGAAGACTGCAGCAAAATGATGCTTTGTCGATTAATGGGTACGCCACAATAGAGGCTTTAGTTAAGCGACCAGTGGCCTTTTGATTGGCTCAATGCGACACGTTGGACCTTCACTGAGTTATATCCGCCGCTTGGGGTTGATTACTACATAATCGGGTTATGTGGTGAATATTACTCACCTTTGTTATCTATATCTCCCGGCATCGATAGCCTACAGCTTTTGAAATAGGGGATGTATGTGGATAATTGCGAATGCTAGTTAAGAGAATATTGCCGATGGCTTTATACGCTAGCTATATAATCAAGAAGAGGGTGGGGGTGATCCCAAAAACGATAAGGATAACCGTATCACGTCACTCCAGACGAGGGGAAGATCCGGGTGAGCCGGGGGCCTTCAGTGACACGCGATGAGTACTGCGACCTTTAACAGAGCTGTCTATAATTCTAACCAATGTAACGAAAATTAAATACCGTCAGGCGTAGATATGGACCAATGCCCTACCTATAACACAGTCCTTTTGATGGACAAGGTTGAACTCAGGAGCCATCCTATTTATGTCGCAGCTATGACGTAACGTGCTATCTCCGCCGGGTTGACTTTAACCCCTGCGCGCAGGTCACATGCATTAAATTAGAGCCGTATGGATCGTAACGTGATATATATAGGCCAGCTCCGGGCTATTTCGTGACGATTGTTAAATCGATCTGCAACACAATGGCCGAAATTAGAGCGTTGACACTAAATACCTGGGGTATAAAGTATATCACGCCGCTTCGCGAACAGCGGCTCCACGCGATTGGCAATCGACTCAGCAACCCCACCAACGACTCTGAGGAGGAGTACGATATTGTAGCATTACAGGAGTTGTGGGTGCTCGCGGATTGGGAGTATATCAGTCAGACATGTGCCGCAAAGTACCCGTACCGCCGCTACTTCTACTCGGGAAAGCTCCTTGGTCCAGGCTTGGCCATTCTCTCCAAGTACCCCATTAAGGAGACCTTTTTTCACGCGTTTCCCATAAACGGGAGACCCTCTGCTGTTATTACAGGCGACTGGTATACCGGGAAAGGGGTGGCTGTAGCGGTGCTAAAGCTTGACGAATCCCGGGAGATTGCGGTTCTCAACACCCATCTACACGGGCCCTACAGTCACGACGTGTCCCATGATGCAAACTATTTGTGCCATCGGACGTGCCAAGTATGGGATCTCACCAAGTTGGTGAACTTTATGGCCGCGCCCCAGCGGGCGGTTATGGTGCTCGGAGATTTGAACTCCACCCCAAACTCCTTACCCTATAACTTGATCACCAAGCGGTGCATGCTCAACGACTCGTGGTTAAAGTTCAAGAAGATGGCTGAGGAGGACATCGGGGATATTAAGGGAATGACTCCTCAAGAGCAAATCGACGTCGGTTGCGTGACGTGCGACTCCACGTTGAACACGTGGGCAAGAAAGCTCTCGGTGGAGGAGGCCTGGAGACTTGATTACGTGTTGACCAGCCACAATTTGGAGATTACCGATGCCAAGGTTAAGTTTGTCAGTTTGATCCCAGGCGTGGAGGAGTCCTACCTGGACCACTTTGCGTATACGATCAAGTGTGTGTTTGGCGAGACGGAGGTGGAAACTGCGACAAAGGCAAAAATGAGGCGGGCGATCCAGAGAGAAACGTACCACCAGTTTTCCGGGGCTATTAGCGACTACCAGAAGCGGAGAATTCCGCACGAGAGAAACCGGAGGGTTGCATACATGGTAGTATCTGTTGCTCTTGCGGTGTGGTTGGTGTTTGCCGTTGTAAAAATGGATGGGGCGGTCTGGGTAAGGGTGGGACTATGCGCTCTTAGTTTTGTGTTGGCATCTTCCGGATTCGTCAACGGGCTTTTCTTTGGGTTGGGGTTTACCCAGGGAGAATACAAGACGTTGGAGGAGGTCAGGCATGAAATCATGGATGAGCTCAGATGTATAGAGCTGTAAGGATATGAGATATGGTTGGGTTCAGGTCCAGATGACCACAAAGCCCACGACTTTCAACCCACAAAACCTACGACTCACAACCCACTTCCCAAAAAATGTCAGAGCTACTAAAGATATCCCCGGTAAACCAGGACAACATTATAAACAAAAAAATAAAACTATAAGTGGGAAATAACGTCTCTTATAGAAACAATAAGTTCCGAAGCCACCATAGCATCGCTTTACTCGTCACAAACACCTCTTGCTCGTACAACCCGGCGAACCCACTCCTCTAGACCAGGCCTGATGTATGCAGTGACCCTGGCCGAGACAGAAATCTTCCCCGAACGACAGGTTACCAAGATACTTAGAGACATGGTTAAACAACTGGTAGATGACATATGAGCGGTATTTTATAGGAAATTTCAGATGTACGACCCAATAAATCTGGGTTGCGTTATTAACTGTGATTTGTGGTTAAGACCTTGAGATGAAGCAGAAGCTGATTTGTGCAAGTCGTTTAGGATTAATCTAGTTTGAGTGCAAATTAATGACAAAAAGGCACTCTTTCCGTAGAGATAACTTCCTAGACACAGCTTTGGAATCTAAATCCTTAATTGATGTTACACTGTAAGATGTTTACCTCGTATAACGCGCAATGGATTCACAATTGTCTGAACTAATTTATTGTCAAATCGTATTTCGAAGCGTTGTGAGCTACAGTTTGGTAATTATACTCAAGGTTGAACGGCAAAAAAACATTTCCCCAGTGTTCCTCTGCCTCTTTGAGACTTTTAGAATCATATTTATCAGCTGTCTCATAATATTTCCGATATTCATGACTCTGCAATGAGTGAAATTATTGTCGGTGACTTCAAGTGGGTCCTGGTGATGACCGCATTATTTCGAGGGCTTTATGCGACTTAGGGTAGGTACCTGAAGGCCTATAGCTCTCTCGTCGGGAGTTATCAGGGGCATAACTGGGCGATCTCCAACTATCTGAACACCGGTGAACCTTGTATCTTGTGTGTTTTGTAGTTTCGGCTCAACAATAGGGGGACGATGGATGGAGTAATTCTGGAGATTGGGCCCTGTAAAGACATTGGTCTGACTAGTAGTAATATCTGACTTAGGCTGGTGACTAGGAGGTATCACCCCGGGGCTACTCCCATCAACGGGAGGGTCCAGATCAGGTGCTTCAGCATTGGGTTTAAGGACGGGTACTTCGTTGATATCCGTCACTAACCTCATTCCCACCACTTGCTGGGCGTAGATGGTGGGGGTTATGACCGGAGGAGTGCCTTGGGGGTTGAATGAGGCCTGGGAATGAAGCGGTGCCTGAGAATGAAGCGGTGCCTGAGAATGAAGCGGTGCCTGGGAATGAAGCGGTGCCTGGGAATGAAGTGGCGCCTGAGAATGAAGTGGTGCCAGGGAATGAAGTGGTGCTTGGGAATGGAGTGGGGCTCGGGGATAAAGGGGGGCCTGGGAATGAAGTGGTTGAATATAAGGTGGAGCCCGGGAATGAATTGAGGCCTGGCGATGAATTGGGGCCTGGCGATGAAATGGAGTTTGGGGATAAAGTATATTCTGGGGATGAAACGGAGTCAGAGGCTGTGGTGGTATCAGAAAGGAGCGGCGGGAATACTCCCAATTCACGCCAGATTGGTTCTGCTTGTTGTGCGCAACTTCACCCAGGAATAGACAAGGGATAGCGTCTTCACCTACATATGGGTTGCGGTACACACGGTTAACTGCTTCCTTTTCCATTTCAAATATTGCCATACGTCCTGTGTTTTCCGACTTGAATTCCTCAGCATTGGGGTCCACATCTATGGGGTACCGGTTCATAGAAACCTCCGCTTGGTATATAAGGAGGAAGTTGGAATGCTTGCTGTCAACCCCCTGAGGAGTGTATGTGTCGAGGCACATATTTCCCCATAAAGTGCCACAGAAAGTGAAGAAGCGATACTCTCTGCTATTAGCCCGACTCAGTTTTTCGCAGTGAAATTGGAGCACCCCTTGTTTTCTCATGAGAGTGGCTATCACAAGCTCAACAAGTAGTTCGACCTCCAGCTCAGGCATAAGATGTAAGGTTAGGAATTTCACTCGAGTGATGTTTCTCGACGGATAGACACTAAGAAACCGAATACCGAGCTCTCCACGGAAAAATTGGCCAATGCCTGTCTCCAAGTCATCGATTATAAACGAGTGATATTCCAGGTGGATAAAGGAAGGGTTTAAGGTTCTAGGTGATGTATTCATCTCACATGTAGAGGAGAGAGGGGAAGTGCGATCGAAAAGAAGTGCGGTTTTGGCGTTATATTTATAGTATACCGCAGAGATACGGGGAGTTTTCCTCCTCGGGATTCGGGGCGATCCAAACACGGTTGAGGCATACACGTGGTAAAGGAAAGTCTAGACTCGCCTTTTTCAGTACCTATTGACAAATAATACATAATAGTGTCTATTATTTTCATCACTCTGTCTCATCTACGCGATATTGTATAACAAGGATTCGGACTAACAATGTGGGGTTTATCCCGCATTCAATGATTCATCGATAGGGTATAGGCCAAAGGGATATGGATGCACGAGCCATCATACAACTGAGAAAATAATTATTAAAGATAGAAGTATTCGGAATAGGGATGTCTACGAGACAAGTATTTGGTACTGAGCGGATGGCTAGTGTTTGTGAAGATGTGTTTGAGATTTCTTGAAATGAGGAGCATTTTGAAATCAATGTGGTTGTTTATGAGTCAAGAACTGCCTAAATGGCGATTAAGAGGTAATAGAGTTTAGAATCACGAACAATCGGAGAGGCTAATATGTGAGAATCAAAGGGTAGTATGCGGGAAATGATGGTGGTTTACCTCACCACAGGCAATGTCAAGCAGTCGACACAGGAGGCGGTGTTTATTCGGTTGTCTATTCCCAGATACTCAGGGGACATTCTACATTTTTCTACATCATATTTGGGCACCCTATACATGACTTCTACTAGGAAGATAAACATGGGGTGAATAGTCCTCTTTAAGTTATTACTTCATCTCTTATATTATCAAAGCCAGCTTACAATGAGGCTCGTTTACAGCTCTTTCTACCGCTGCCATCCCAGTGATTGAAGCCTAAGCTTGTGCCAGAGAACTATAAGATTCAGTTGTGAGACTGAAAATATAACTCTGATATTTAATCGGGCTTGTCAGAAACATAGTACTTGCCCCTGCGCTCTATGGACCCCCAACATCGACACCAAACGTCAGAAGGGAGCAAGGCTTAAAAAAATAAATGAGCCAAATATCGTTAATATTGTACCTTTGTTTTAACACATACTTTGAAATTCATCGTTGAATAAATATGGCTCAAGGGCTTGAAGTGGTAATTTTCAGGGCTGCCCAAAATTTTGCAGCCAAAATTTTGGTCACATCAAGAACAGGTGGTATTCTGAGATGAAAAGCCTCTGTGCTACTTTGATAAATCAAGCTCGTGAGTAATAAAATTAATATTAGAAATTTAGCCATGAAACCCATAACTATAATTTAAGTGGTACTAAACATGCCCCGTTAAGCCTGTTTGGGTCAGGGACACAGTGTTGGGTAAATTTTGCGTCAAATGGGGTTTTCACATGGTGCGTCGTTAACAAACTGCGGCTTGCTCAGGTTCTTCCCCTCATTTGAAGTGGCGTGATACGGTTATCTACACGGTCTACAAGGACCTTCTTATCCTCCTCTTGTATACCTAGTTCATAAAGCCAGTAATATTCTCTTTTGGCTAGCTAGTGGTGTTCATTACTAGGTATATCACTCAATATTTTCGGCTACCTTTTGCACTTTGTCAGGTAGTTTCGGGAAAATTTCATTTAGACTTCTCTTTCAAGTCCTTTGGGAGGCAGATCTCTGCAAAAGCCGGCGAGCTATAGAAGCTCTGTTTACTTTCAGCCATTTTTGGAAGCACGGTAAAATGAGGGTGGCCTACTATTCTTGCATAATTTTATGTACTCATTTCAGAGGGATACAGTTGTCTACACACACCTTTGCAAGTAGTGTTTCAAACATCCTGAGAGTATATTCAGAGTAAAAAATAAATAAATAAGGTATGTAGACCAGGGTTATTTGAGGCACCGGGGGCCATTGAAATGACCGAAATACATAAGCATTGACGATCAGCGGTAGCATGCAAAGACTCATGCACCGCTATGCATATCCCGGGTCCCCGCAGACTTATAAGTCTGGCTATGTACAGGGCAGCCAGACGACAAAATGACGCAGACGGAGAATATGGGCGATCCTGTCGATCGAAAGAGCTAAAAAGAGTGTTTCACATGGTACTAGTGAAGATGCAGTCGGGCCATAGAAGTTTCGGGTCAATAAATGTGCGACTTGGTAGGCTTATGCATACAGGCACAGCTACGGTCATTCAGCCCGTATTCAATTTTTACTCTCGGTGCCTTTCAAGAACCAAGGCTTAACCGATTCAGGATTTCTATAACCTATAAGGTTTAATTCATTTTGTCGCTACCCTGTATTTCTAGATCTGTCTATACTTCAATAATCTAAAATGTTAAAACAGTTACAGTATAGATACCATTTAATATTGTAAAATGCTGCGTAAAAAACTCTCCTGATTGCTTAAAAAAACTACATCATACCCATGTCGACAAGAAATTTCAAGAGTGATGGTTTAGAAAACGGAATTCCCACAGAAGGCATACCAGACAAGCCAGGATCCCCTTAGTGTTCGATATGCAGCAAGGATTTTTCCCCGCATCGGATGACGGAGAATCCCCCTTTGGATGGGGCTTATCTCTGAAATTACTATGTAATATTAACCTCTTCTAAATTAGAGCTAGAATCCAAAGATATGTAGTGTGCGAACTTTATTTACGTTTGAAATTAAGTTTCTAGTTTCAGTTTCTTTATTCCTATAGTAGACGCTATTCAGCGCGCCCTAATGCGAAGCTACCATGATTATACGTTCCTACCCTGTCTTATAGCATGATGCGTAACGGAAGTCCGTCATAACTGGTACAAACCCTGGTCAGGGCCTTAGGCATCTGTGTATATGCATATACTCTCATATGCACCTGCATATATGCCTACATCTGTCTGGGGATTGAAACCATGCTGATATTTACCTATGTACGGCTTACATTTACACAAATTTAAGCCTTCAAATCTGATATTTTATAAATAAATGCTAATACGAACCATGTATATTAAATGCCTCGCTAACATGCGAAACTAAGGCCCTTGCTTTTCTAGCTTAGGCTTGTGGAGAACGGAGGAATACGATTTTGGTATATAATGGACTCGAGAGGCTGGCACAGTGGCGGTGTATGAATGAAAAATTCACCGAAAAGGACTGGCAGTATCACCCCGGACTCGGAACTTATGCAAGTGCAGCAACAGAACGAAAATCCAGCCAACCTTGGAACAAGTTCCAGTCTATATGTGTGTAGGTTAGAGCGGAGATTAGTGGGAGATCTTAGGTTTTGGGAGTGCATCAAACGGCTAGTTAGAGTAAATACGAGAAATTTACACGCCTCGTAGGACCGCGTCTATCGGACTTTGAAGTCCCACGAAAAGTTCACTAGAGATTGAATACAGGTTAAGAGGTCCAGTCACACTTGATACACGACTACACGGTGTATCTTGATAGCCAAGACCGACTCAAGATTTTCCAATGAACTATAAACCAATAGAAAACCGGAACAAGAGGAAATTGGATTAGTAACCATTCCCGCAATATCAGGTGCAGGCAGAGACGCTTGGAACGTATTACTAGCATCGTCTATGTAGGTGCAGGAAGAGATGCTTGGAGCGTATTACTAGCATCGTCTATATAAGGGCTGCAGTAGACGAATAGATATATTCCTTTTCCACGCATACAGGACCCACGATAAGAAGAAGGTGCTAGTTTACAGAAGAGTGTACTGGTATTTAGTAAGTACAAATGCAGCAGAGGCCATACTTTCAGATGGAGAACATTCGAGTATTAGTTTTCAAAGCTATTGATTCAGACACATTTAGTTGGTGCTATTGCCTCAGTTATGCCGTAACAGGTAGTCAAAGTGTCAGGAAACGATTGGTGCGTAAATGCTTAATAACTAACATCCATAGAGCGGTTTGGTGAGGAGATTGTGTACTTTCACGATTTGTTTTCCGTTTATCGACTTCAGTCCGCTAAGGGAGTAAGCAGTATCCTTCGTACCAAAGAGCCCTACTATCATTAAATAACAGTGGTTACCAATTACTAACTTCTTTCCAGCCTTCTTGAGTTTGATAGTAGATTCACGAGGAAATCATCTAGGTAGCACTTTCAAGCTGCCAAATGCCATATCTAGAAGTGCCTTTCTACAAAAGGGTTGATTATCGATCTTGTCTAAACTATAAACTTGCAAAATGATGCAGTGTTACTGGATCAGCACATAAGAAACCTCAGTTATATTTTCAAAATATCCTCATTAGACTGACTATTTCTATTGAGGCTATACTATGACAACGGCTACGAACCATGGTAAAATGTGTTACAATATGAAAGATGAGGGAGCATAAGATCCTATCTTTTAGAATACTTCAGAGTTTGCGGAAACCCGCACTGTTGATGTCTTAACCGAACATGCATTTTATGAAACTAAAAAAAAAATTCAAAGCCTAGTTCTATTTTTTTTTAAGATTGACGCACAGCCTGCCCGCCTAACAAGGTCTGACAATTTTTTGGTTAATTATTAGTATTTTTGTGAATTAAGTTAGTTTGGATCTTTAGTGAGAGTATACTAGCCGCCTAGTATTAGGCTGTGTCTCCACTGGCCCAATCTGGAGTTAGAGACGAGGAACTTCAAATTACTCTCCAAGGCTTTATATCGGATGCTATAAGACAAGAGATAGTCCTGTTTAGTCCTGGAGGTTGCTTCAGATACCCACAAAAGCATCATGAATTTCTCTGTTAATTTTATTCCCATTCTTATTCTAGGTATGCACAACTATTAATTCCATTGGTTCTTGTGCCACTCCAAGCGCTTCTATACCGATATTGTATATTACAGAGACTGTATAGGTTAATTTGTGTGAGTTCGGAGATGATAGAGGTGGAAGTAGAACTGGTGATGGTAGCGGCAATTATTGGGTCAGGTTGAAATGACAAGTATTCTTTTCTGATCAACCCTACTGATCTATCCAGAATCCATATTAATTCAAAGTGTACTATAAAGTTTTTGTCAACTGGGATCAAAAGATATATATTCTACTGCTCTATTAGTGGTATAAGAGAATACCCGGCTTTTAAT